ATCAAAATATCCGGTTGCCAGTTGGCGTGAGGGCGCGAACCACCATGCAGTAGAGGCTCTCAGACCGCATTGGTTGTCCAAGCCCAAGTCTGACATCTCACCTCAGATTAACACCAAGAAGATGATCGTGGACCTCAGAGAACCGACCGGCACCCCAGCTCTTCAGGCTTTCCGCGAAGAGGTAGCCAGTCTAATCACTGCAGACCTCACCTCCATGGATGCAATGGTCAAGCAGGTGGCGATCAAACACTACCCCCTTACTGAGAAGCCAACCAAGCCGCCCACTCAACCGGAGGAGCTAGCCAACAGTGCACGACATATGTGGCAGCTGCATCGACGTATGAAGGCCCAACCCTATACGGCAAGAGGCATCGTGGAGGCGTGGCGACTTTGGACCCAGTTCTCACAAGCACATCGCATTCACAAACAACGTGCCAAAGTCCGCTCCAAGGTCCGGCGGGATGAACTACTGGAACAAGCCGAACAGGCTGCCAAACAAGGCAACGCGCATGAGATGTGGAGTGTGGTCAAACGCCTTGCTCCCAAAAGTCGACCGAAAAAGGTGCAGCTCTACAAGCATGGGCACATCATGACTCCCAGTGCCGAGCTTGAATGGATCGCCGAGGAGTTCGGGAAGCGCTTTGGGGCGCAGTCGTCGGGTACTCCGGGCCCTTTGTTACGGCAGCATGCTCCGGTGCAACTGCAGGAGGACCACGTGCTGGAAGAGCTCCTAAAAATTCCGATGAGGAAAGCAGTCCCCCCGGGGGCTGTCCCGGCGGTAGTGTGGCGCGCTTGTGCGGAGCAGATAGTCGTTCCCCTGGTGGGCAAGGTGAATGAAACTTGGCAGGAATCACATGTGCAAGTCCATCAGGATTGGGCACAGGCGGATGTTGCGCTCTTGCCTAAAGGGAAGCCGAATGCCAACACTCCCTTAGACCTGCGACCGATTGGCCTTCAGCGCCCCATTGGGAAAACAATCATGAAGGTGGTGTTGTCTATGGCCAAGACGGACATGATCGCACTGGTACGGAATTGGCCTCAGACAGCTTATCTGCCAGGACGATCGACCACCACCGCTCTTAAGACTGTGTTTGCACATTGTGATGCTGTCCGGAAGCAATGTGCTCTAACTCGACAAAGTCTTCATGATAAATATGACGGCAAGCCTGCGCCACCCTTTTCTGGAGGACTCCAGATCAGTTTGGATTTGACAGCCGCTTTTGACTTATAGTCGGATGGCAGCACATCAAAGATGCGATGGAGCTAGCACACATCAATGCCTCAGTCCAGGAACTGCTTCTACAGTGGCTCTGCCAAGTCGTCTACGTCTTTCATCACGGCAAGGACACCAAATCTATCAGGCCACAATGGGGTTTGCGGCAAGGATGCATCGCGTCCCCAATGCTCTGGGGTATCTTTACGGCACTTCTGTGTCAGGCCTTCGACATTCAACTCAAGCAATGCTGGTCCGTTGACCATGCCGTGCTATATGCAGACGACTCACACCTAAGGTGGCAGTTCAGCTCGTTCTCTGGATTGGAACACGCGATTGCTGAACTAAGGCAGGTCTTGCGGATCTTCGCTCGGTTTGGTATGAAGGTGAACGAGAAGAAAACCCAGGCCTTGCTTATGGTTGCCGGCAATGACAAGAGGAAAGTTCATAAGCACTATGTTCGCGCTGGTGCCGAGGGCAACGTCTTCTTCTTTCTCCGAAGGACCCAACGAAATGGCTCCCGCTGGTCACTCAAGCTGAATACCTGGGACTGGTCATTGCATACGACCGCTTCGAGGCACTCTCCACGCGACATCGAATTGCAAAGGCCAACCAACGCAGATGGGTCCTGGCCCCGGTGCTTCATTCTCGCAGGCTCTCGGTAAGGTATAAGCTGCAAATATACAGGTCTTGCGTGCAGTCCTCGCTGCTGTACGGCCTCCACTCATTTGGCCTGACGCCCAAGCTTATGAAGGTTATCCAGACTGCATCGATGAAACACCTTAGAGCTGTGTGGTCTCTGACCCTCGTCATATAACAGGCCGCTCGCATCAGGAAGTCCGTGAGAAGTATCATCTGGAGGACGTGGGGGTTCTCATCAAGCGGGCCCACGACCATGAAGTCGATGGCGGGGAACTCGATTGGATGCACTTACCGGAGTGGGATGCGCATATTCAGCGCTGCCTTCAGGAAGCCACTGCGGTGACTTCTGGTCAGATGGAGGACTCTGAGCCTGAAAATTGGGCCTGCCCGGAGTGCGACTCTTTCTTCAGCACGGCGGCAGCTCTCAAGATACATGCTTATAGGGCTCATGGCATCAAGAACAAACCACTCCGCATCTTTGACAAAGCATGCCACGCTGTGAAGGGGTTGCCCACTTGCCGATTTTGTGAGAAGCGGTTCGCGCGCTGGCAGACCCTGGCACATCACATTAACACTCTAGCCTGCCCTCTTATGCACGCAGCGCAGACCGTCAGTGCGGATAGGGAGACGGTTCAGTCTGTTAAACTATCTCATGTGCATGATCTGAATGCGGATGCAGACGAAGCAGCATGCGAAGATCTCCTACCTGAACATGATCATGATCATGCGAGTGTGCCTGAGCCCACGCTTGGAGTACGACATGATAAACCCCTCGCGCAACAGCTCTTGGTTCAACAGACGGCGAATAAAGGCCTACGCTTCTTCATACAACAGTCCGATATCACCTGTCGGCTTCACCAGCATTGTGGTTTATGCGGGCAGTGGGTGGCATCCCAAAAAGTGATGAAGTTGCACTATCGTAACAACCATCCTGAAATTTTTCCAGCCAAGCAAGAAAGAAATCGCACGTATCATTGAACTGAGTGCTACTCCCAGCGTCCGCTGCCACTACTGCGGAACGGCACCCAAGGACTGGCGAGCACACATGTACAACTGTACTACCATTTGGCAATGTGCAGTTTTATGTTTGATGCAGGCTTCGGTGAGTACCCTCGACAATGTTCGGATCGGCAGTTCGGGATCAAGAGATGGACGAGTTCTTTGGAGCGTTTCGACTGGGTCCGGAACCGGCTCAGACGGCCACTGGGACCAATGGGGGAGACGATTCGGGAATGCACCCAAAAAGAAGACGGGAGACCCAGCAGCATGCGGACTGGGGACAGGACGCACACTGGGGCAACCATCGACATCACCAGGGGCACTCTCATCACCACTATCCCCAGAGCCACTACCAACATCACGGCAGGGACCCCTTGGTCTATTCTTTGGCACGTGTCGTCCTGCAGCAGGAGCAGGAAATCAATCTGCTCAAACAGGATACGGCCCTGGTCCTTTGGTTCAGTCCGGGGGGCGACTCCATCTTAAACCACCTCTATCGTACGGCCTTCGAATTCAAGAAGAAACAGGCCGCCGAACCATCGTGGGGAATGGCACACATGCCGTTGAAGCAGGTGATGGCGATGTCGATGTTTCGGGAGCTCAGGGATCGCCATGCCAAGGTTCTCGCATCTCAGGAGCTCACCAAACGGGCGACGGACATGGGATGGCGAGACGCTCAGGGTTGGCACTTTCAGCAGTGGAATCCGAAGCTGAAGCATCTAGAGCTCGACAAAACGAGAGCGGCGGTCCCGGACGTCGAGATGGCGAACAAGCTCGAGCACCTAGTGGAACACGTCAAGAGGGATGTTGTGCATCGGTTCCATTGCACCAGGAAGATGACGGAGACCATGGACAGCAACGCTACTTTCAAGCTAGACTTGTCGGTCAGGAACAAGCACGCGGAGGAGATCTGGGACCTCTTGATCGAGCTCCAGGGCTGCTGCATCTTTCAGTTGATCGGACTGGGTTACAGGAGGGAACGAATGGGCCGGGGACCACTGGCTCAGAAGATCCACGAGCAGCTCCGGTACTAAGGCGCATTTACACGAACCCGGCCAATGCATGCTACATGAACGCGACTGCGCAGGTCTTGGAATGGCTACTGTACGACATCGGCCATGGAGCGGATGCTATGGGGACAGGCGCTTGCTTCTTCACCTCTATTTCCATGCGAAGCTCTTATATAACGCTTCTGGAGGTTCAGGAGTGGCGAGATCTCGTCGCTGGCTGGGCAGAGGTGCATAGACAACATGATGTGGGCGAATTCCTGGGTCACCTTCTTCCTGCGATGAATCTTCCATCATTTCAGGGTTTATGGCAAGCTCGCAGTCTTGCTCTTGGGGGCGGTGTACAATGCATCGATCAGGGGCCATGCACCCAGCCTCTGTTACTGCCGTTACCTTCAGCACCACCAGGACTTCATGCGGTTGCCCAGGTACAATCGATGATTGACTTTTGGCAAAATGGCCGAGATCGCACACAAGGCCTATGCCGTTTGCCTCACATCCTGACCTTGCAGATTATGCGCTTCAAACGGCACGGTGGACATGTCAAAAAGAATCGAATGGAGGTGCCATTGGACGATCCACATCTTCTGATGCCATGTTTCCGTACTGAGGGAGTTGCGCGAGAGTATGTGAACTACAAACTCGTTGCGTGCATAGTGCATCACGGGCTCACGCCCAAAAGCGGTCACTACACTGCTGCTTTGATTGATTCCAAAAAAGCGTTTGGCTGTGTGACGATGCTCGCATCCCTCAGCTGCACCAGTGCTCGCCACCGAATCATCGTCGTGATGCTTACATACTGTTCTACCGTTATGAGGCGGTGTCCACTCTCAGATGATTGCGTTGATTCTTGAATTGCCATGCTTTACAAGGCCCTCAGGGGCGGTGGCAATCAGTCGGAGTCGCCTTAACATAAGGTTGAGCGCTTGAAGCGCCGGGAACGAGTCCCGTTCTAACTCGTCGCATGGCGGACTCCCTCCGCTGCGAGGAAATCTAATCTAATCTACTACTACTACTACTACTACTACTAATCCTACTACTCCTGCTACTCTCACCAGTGCTACTACAACTGTTACGAGGACCACTACTATCTCTGCTTCGGTTGGTGTGCTGAGTCTTCGGTTGACGTTTCCGTGCAGGCGTTACGGTATGGACCCTCTCTGGTGGAGCAACTCACTGCGACGAAGCTCTCGAGTGGACGGTCATGCCGTGCTTTGCTCTGCATGTCAATGGGAACGGGCGTTCAGTCTCTAAGCACCGTGAGGGTATCATCGTGAAAGCAGCTCCGGTTTGTGTCATTGGTGTAACCCATGTCTGTCTTTCCAACTCTTCTCTTTTGGTCTTCTCTCTCCCTGTGTGTGTCATGCGTGCGTGTGTGTGTGTGTCACCTTCTGTCCGTCGTTTTGGTTTTGTTCTGGCGTCTGTCTCTCTCTCTCTCTCTCTCTCTCTCCCCTCCCGCCTTTGCCTCCCTCCCTATCTCTCAATCCCTGTCTCGCTCTCTCATGCATTCTCTGTGTTTTCTTTCTTATCTTCAGGTTATGATCGGCTCCATCGGTGAGGAGGCATCGAAAATTCGTGATACCCTGCCACCTGGGCAAGGGCACGTGGTGTTGGACACGGCTTTGCTGCCAAGTGTTTTCAGGTTCCCAGACGTTACCACCTTGCTCTTTACCGAATATCTTTACTGTTTCTTGGACACTGTGGACACGTTTCATGCACATACACACAGTCGCCAAGGTCAATCTTTGAACAAGCGGGCATGATCTGTGACGAGCTTTGATGCCGGCGTCGAATCCTTAAAGTCTGATGCTACATGTACATGACATGGCCTAAAACGGAATGATTGCCAACTCATGCCGGAACCTGGTGCGATGACCCATCCTCTTGGTGCTTGTCAAGCTGCGGGCACGTAGGACTTCCTGATGGTCGACTCATTCGGCTATACTTGACAGCCACCACAAGGTGACCCAAGGCCGCGTTTGCCTCCTGGGGCTTGTATCACCTTCGCTGGATGAAGAAAATACGATTGGCGTGGCAGACAAGGCCAGTCGTTCGGAACAGTGGCAAGAGACTCGAGCGCATGAGCTCGTGGTCTCGTGGTGTGGAGTATGTTCAAAGCGGTGATGCGTTGGTGAAAGTGGCTCCATGGTCGGAGCTTTCGGACTCGGACTACAGCTCGTCTCACAACCAGTTGTGTCGTCGTGTTTCTGTGTTGCTCTGACATGGATCGCCCAACAGGAAAAGCTTTGATGCCTTGCACGCCCACACTTCTGTTGCTCTTGCGCCTGCAAGTTGTGGTTCATACATACCAGTTTTTGCAGATCATGATGCGCAGGTGGCAGGAGACAAAGAGGATCAGATTGGTGATCCGAGCAAGGTTCATGTTAAAGGCCGGCAGATGTCGCTACAGCTGATTTTTAACATGCGCGATACGGTCGAACAACTTTCGTACTTGACGGCATGTCCGTGTCTGTCTACAGTATGCACATGCGAATTATGGCTCCAGGGTGCTGCGCATGACTGTGCAGATGTCCGCAACTAATTGTGCTGGCCCGTCTTCCTGGACCGGATGCAGATTCCAACGATGCCGGCAACGACAGCTGTCCGTCTAGCGCAGCTCTAGAGTGCCAGTCGCAATGATGATACATACAGGAATACATGGTCGTCGGCACGGTTCTGGCAGAGGGGACGCAGCGCAACTGGAGAAGCCAAGATGCTGGAAGTAAGCCCGGCGCACATGTGAACAAGGGGTCCCGACACAAAGAAAGCTTGCTTCGATCCACTGAAGCGGTCTCGCGGAGCACTGCAAAGCGGTGGCCGAGAGCCATCTTGACAGTCGCAGACTTGGCCACTCAAGGAATTCAGTCAGACGTTGTCTTGCAAAATGCTCTGCTCACGATTTGTGGTCGAGGACAGCAGTGGCAGACAACATCGCTGCACCTTCGGAAGTTAGGTCGTGATCTGAGGCTCACTGCGGTTTCCTTTAATTCAGCAGCTAATGCCTTTTCAATCAGTGCCAAATGGAAGCAAGCATGCCATCTGCTCGCGGACTGTGCGCGGAATAGCTATGAAAAGGACGCAGTCTTGTCCAACACCGTCATTTCAGCCTTCGCAAGACGCTCACACTGGGTCCACGCTGGTGGGCTGCTGTCCTGGATGACTGGAAGCTCAGTAAGATGCACGCAGATGACGCTGAGTGCTACAATGAATTCTTGCAGAAATGGCTACAGGAATGGTGCGAGACTAGAGCTTTGGCAAAGAGTATTGGTGCTTCTGTCAGAGGCGCCGGCATGCAGCGTCCAGCCGGATGGAGTCATGCACAGCTCATGCATAGGCGCATGCGAGACGGAAAACCAATGGCAGCAAGCCTTGGCCAGCGTGATATCGTTGCAACGAGGTCGAGTTCGGACACAAACAGTAAATGCTTACAATGCTGCCATCAGCGCCTGCGAGAAGTGTTCCCAGTGGCAGCAGGCTTTGGCGTTGTTTGAGATGTTGTCGATGCAGAACGTGCAACCAGATGTCATCAGCTACAACTCAATAATCAGCACTTCAAAGGATTGGACGTTGGCGATGTTTTTCTTGCAGTCTCTTCTGCTGGGCAAGCTGCAGCCGACCCTCGTCACCTTCAACGCTGCCTTGTCTGCCTTCGGCGGTGGCGAGTGGATGGAAGCCATCTTGCTGCTCGAACAACTCCAGAGCCACCGCTTACTTCCAGACCTCATCACCTTCCACACACTTCTGAGAGCCAGCTCTAAGACACAGTGGCAACATGCCTTCTATTGGCTGAGCGAACTGGATGCACGGTATTTGCAGAGAGACCTGATCACACATAGCGTGGTCATCACGGCGTGTACTCATGCCAACAGATGGGAGAGGTCTCTGCTTCTCGGGTCGGAGGCACTTGCAATGCCCTCTTGCGATGCTCACACATGCACCGATTCCATTGTGGCCTGTGAGCGCGGGGGCAGATGGCAGTCAGCATTGTGCTTGCTCGAGGGATTAGTGAATTTGGCCGTAGAAGGCGATCCAGTTGCATGCAATGCTGCTATGAGCGCCTGTGCAAGTCAAGGGGCTTGGCCACAAAGCTTGGCTGGCTTGCACGAGCTTGACCCTACGGAACCAGCAGCTCTGACTGCTTATGATATAGCAGTCATCGCATGCGCTAATGCCGAAAATTGCGGGGTCATGCCATGGGCAGAAAGATTGACAGGTCCGGCTCGGCCTGATGATGCCGGCTCTGACGAAGAGGAGCCGCAGCCCCACCTGATCTTACGTCCACCCATTTGCCGTCATGGCAGGACCCGGAGCTGTATGAGCAGCTTTCCAAGCAACGCCGCCTAGTCAAACGTGCTGACACAGGCTCGATCAGTCGTAGCAGTCCTACCTGGCTCGTGGTAAAGACGCAGCTCCCAGGCCAAGCCAAAAAGGGAGAAGCCGCATTGACACAGGCTTGGACGACACCACCAGCATCTGCTAGTTTCTGAGCGGGATAAAATCAAAACTCCTTGCAGGTTTCGGAGCGCATCCAGGGCATGGGCGGTGAGGAGGCCGTGCTCGAGATTAGAATGCTCCAGATTCTGACGCTACGAAGAGCTTCTGTGCTAGGAGGATGAGGTGAAGGATCAGAAGGAAAAAGGCCTTTCCATGCCGGGGTGAGATGCTACGTTCTAGATTAGAGAGACTAGTATGAGTGATCCTGCCTGCTGTTTGGCAGAACTACTGGGGCTAAAGAAAGAAGCAGACAGCAATGTGGCATTGACCGCCACAACAGAGCCTGCAGCTCAGTTTCATATCATGTACCCCTCGATATCTGCCTATCTTCGCGCAATGAAACAAGCCGGCGATCGAAGCTATACAGGTTCTGCAACGTGGTGCAGACTCCACTTGAAAAGATCGAGACGTTGAAGCATGAAAGCTTCCGGGGTTCCACGCTGTACAAGCAGCAGGCCTTGCCTTTTGCTATGTAATCTTCAGTGCGGTCGCCCTACAGGTACAGGCACAGACCGACTCGTGTGTAATTGATCCGCTGCAGGCAACCCAGCGTAAGGGTGTTGCAGCCGGTGAGCGAAAAGCCCGAAAAGCGGGCCTGCCCGAGGAAGCGCCTGGGCTCGAAGTTCGGTGAAAGCAGCCATGAGTAGAAACCTCCGATCAGTTGCAGGTCTTGGCTGCAACGAAAGATGCAGAAGAAGACCTGGCCAGATCCGCTATTCATTATTGGGGCCTCCTTCGTGCAGCATTGCTTTGTGGCAGCACGTCATGCCAGGAACAGACGCTGATCGAGGAGTCTCTTGACCTCAGCTGCCGGCAGCCGATTCGAATCCATTCGATGCTTGCGACCCCTCAGAAAATGCTGCCTGAGAGCTTGTCTTCGAGGTGCCAGTGGGCTTGAGTACCTCCGGGCTCGATCGCAGATCGGCTGTGACCAGGCGAGATAGTTGGTGCTGTGGCATTGAGACGCTCAGACATCATGGCCCTGTCTTGTATGGCCTCGAAGGACTCTCACAGGATCCGCAAGTTGGACAATCGCCCATTGGAGATGTCTACGGTCGATGGTGACATCAAGCTTGAATATCGAGACGATTTCGGTAGGGTCAGCTGCTCATCCAGTCGCCAGTGATGTGGTTGCCGAGCGGCAAGGCACATAAGGCACTTGCCGCTTGCCCTTCAGGTCCAGACGCCAAAGGAAGCCTTCCGCTCGATTTCCTGGAAGTTCCACGGCAAGGCCCGAGCCTCGGGAAAGGGTCAAACGAGTAGCAGAACATGCAACGGCAGCACGGCAGCTTGGTGTCTTCGCGTAGGTGTGCACTTGACTGTTAGGGCTAGATCTGACCGCAGTTTGACTGATTTCCCGAATGTGCATGAAGGTTCCTGGCCGAAAAAATATGGAACGGCGACTTCTTCGTCTGGAAAACGAGATGAGATTGACTTTTGGATTGAATCCATCTGCCCTCAGGTCAGTGCCACACGATCCTTCAAATTCCCTTGTTAACCGCTTCTCTGCAAATAAGAATGCCCCATCTGAGGAAGAGCATGAATGTCATCGAAGCTCTTCCGACGCTCAGGCACGGTAGCAATGCCGCTTTTCCCAGAACAGCTGAACTGCAGCACTGGAGCTTGTGCTTTGATCAGGGCACTGCGACATGCGCAAACAGCTGAAGCCAAGCCGTGCCCATTTAGATGACTCGCGGGGCCAAGTCATGTTAATATGAATTGCCGGCCTTGCAACCGATCGGCTTTTCCCTAGCAGAGCCGCTCCCAATCTTGCGAGGTACATGGTCCTGAGTGGCGCCAACGAGAAGTGAGCGTTCTCGCTGGGCAAAGGCAAGATGCTGTTCTCACTCTGACAATTTCAGAATTCCTGGTTGATATTGTCGATGCCCGTCCTTGCTGCTCCTGCTGAAGCAGATAGTACGTGTTGCAGCCTTTTGTGCGCATTCTTGACGAGATCCTATCAGATTGCCCGACCGAAAACCAAGCTGCAAAGCCTCTTGTGCAGTTCCACTCGGTACTTGTGCTTTTTCAGCTGGTGACGTGTCCATTCTACAATCTCTGCGCTGCAAGAACCCTCTTCAGCTTGCGCATCGTGTCGCGTGCCGCTTGTTGTCTGGTGTTTGTCAGAGGATCGGTGCTGTTCGCGCCAAGAGGACAGCTCAGGAATGGGAGTCGATGGCGGTCTGTCGATGCTGGTTTGCACCACGCATCTGCTGTTCAACGTCTGCATCTCGCGTATCCTGTCATGTCGTTTCGATAGCCGGGCAGCTGCAGAGCTATTGTCACGAAATCTCTGGCAGTGTGTGTCGTGCGGACGATTCTGTGAGCTCGGAGGGTGCAGAACTCGGCGCCTAAATGTCCAACGCGAGGGCAGAAGAATGGATAAAAGGATTCGTGAGGATGTGCGGCACCACGCGGAGTATACAAATTTCAATAGGCGCAAGGAAGACCGATCTCCCAAAAGATTCTCCAGGCTTCACCTTTCCATCTAAAACAAGAGCTCTGGTTCACGCCAGTGTTTCGCGGTCAGAGAGTTACATCGAGGCCGGAGAGACTTTGTTTTCCTAATACCCCGCTGTTCTATGCCGAGGTGCCCCCTAATGACACAAGTTCTGGCAGACCATGAGTTCGTCCGTACCATGGACGATTGGGTGGCAGAAGACATGCACAGCTGTGGCCCAAGCTACCTGCTACCTTTGGGCCGGTGACACTATCGAGTGGATGCAGGCCTTGTAACATTGATTCGCCTATCATCTTTCGCAGAAGCCACGACATAGGTTAGCTGAGCAGCTAGGACTTTTGCTTCGAGGAGTCATGTCAAGTTCATCGCATCCAGCACAGGGCTGTTTGCCAAGACTTTGCACTCCTGGACTGGGAAGCCCTGTTCGCCGCGCCATGTCGACTCGCCAATTGTCGCTGAAGGCAGAGGGTCTGCTACGTTCGCACGAAGCGATGGCCAAGCCAAGCCTGGCAGATGTCCCCGGTGCCCAGCAGAACTAGTGGCAGCCGCAGAGGCACGAGAACAGGAGCTCGTCCTTGCCTGTGATATCTTTGCACGGAGTCGCATTGTGACCACTTTCGATAGTTCCGATACTGCGGCAGGAACGAAAGACTCGGGTGCCCTCGACAGCAGATCGAAGACGTCCGGGTCTCTCATGAGCGACGAGCACATTGCGAAGGAAGGTTCGAATGCTTCCGACAAGCCTGAAGCTGAGCCTCCGCGACTCTACTGCGAAGCGAGACATCATCGCATGCAGCACCGCCGAGGTTCGTTGTTGGCGTGATTGGAGCTTCGCTGATGATCGTGCAGGCACCATGGTTCGAGGTGAATGCATTCCCAGCTCTGACAGCCGCGGGCCTCGCACAGAATCGGAAGTGCCCGGCATGCTGCTGTGTTTTGACACAATACCCGCAGCATCCATTGCCTCGGCCTCATTTGGCACCATAGCCTTAAAATCAAGAACCGGTGCCCTCACGAGAACGACGGCAATTCCATTGATATTAGAACCCCATAGTGTGCACCCACATTGTCCGGAGAACTAGTCTCGATTGGTTTCGTCCAGGCGGAACCAAGAAAACAATAAGTCAATGGAACACCAACCAGCATCCAGAAGTTTCAGAGCTACGCGGATTTTGTGTTTGCATTCTTCCTTGGCAATGCTGGATCGCAGAATGCGCTAGGAATGCAGAAGTACAGGGACTGCAAGGGTACTGCAGGCTGCAGGAGCCGGGCTTCGCGTCTTGGGGCAATGGTTTGTGCACGGTGTTCATGGGGCCCGGCGGCAAGGCCTCAGGTTTAGAGTTCAGGTCTAGGACCCTAGGAAGACTTCCTGCAGGCAGATCGAGCGCTTTCTTAAAGCAAGATGATATATGATGATGTGACATATGTGACCAGCAGAACACAGTACGTAGACAGATAGATGGACTGGCACGTAGGTGGAGAGATAGGTGAGCAGATAGATAGATCGACACGGAGATACTAGGTGCTTGACACTGAATGCGTCGATAAATGTGGATGATAAGATGACGGGGATGAGCCAACGAGGATAGACGGGCAGCAGAGTGCTAAACAAGCCAACAGATTCCGCGGTATGCGAAGCTGCAAAGTTGCTGTATTTGTGCCTGCCGCTCACTGAATCTCTTTCTTCAGTGAGGGCCGGTCGGACGCCATCGGTATCCGAAGCCCAGGCGTAGCTTCGAAGACGGGGATGGGGGACCTGTGGGACCCAACTAGGCCTCCCACCGGACGCTTTGAGGCCCGCCTTTGTGTGGTCAAAGCGGCCTGGCAGGGGGCAAAGTTGGAAAGTGACCGCGACCCACCATGACAAACAGCCCAGTGTGTGTTTGAACAACATCTGTTTAAGCACACCGATTGCATACACATCCGCATACATACATGTAAACATGTCAGAGACCCCGTCAATTGCATTTGTGGCTCTTGTCGTAGACGCAAGCGGCAAAAGTCGGTGAAGTACTTGGTTAATTGGACCATGCCATGTTACTACCACATGTCGTTTACTTGTCATAGCTCAGACGAAGGGCTTGGGAAAGTAAAGTTGATTTGTGCACCGATGTCGTCTGACAGGTTGTGGTGCTAATCGCTGGTCTTACATCGTGGTTGAAAGTTGTGAGTCTCGGCGAAATGGCTGAAGCAAGTTTATCGTTTCAGAAGAAGACGCAACCCAAGGAACACGGACTTGGCTGGGCTCTGAGCTTGAGTCGCTTCCTGTGAGTTGTCACTTCTTTAGCAGCGGCAGCAGCCCGGACGGCATGTCCGCGCCCTGCGCCAGGATGCAGAATTGCTGAAGGCTTCCATCGACGAAGCCTGAAGTCCTACATCCCTGGATGTACCCATGACACCTTGCACTTGCGCTGGAACTGAGAAAGAAGCTACTTCTGCGCAGGGGCCCCATCCAGTCACGCATTCGCGCATTCTTGGACTTGGGAGTTGGGATACAACATCAACAAGGATACCAAAGGTCGTCGTACGGACCGTATTTGGCGAAGCGGGTCATGCGTCCAGTCGGCAAACACATTCCCTCGCATCAGTCTAGGACAGACTCCTCGGCAACACACCTTGGGTAGGGACCAAGTTCGACAAATCCTCCAGACGGAGAAACGGATGTCTTGGAGTGGTCTCGGCCCAGGGTCAACGAGTCCTCTGTCAGTGTGGGTGTATCAATGCCTCAACTCTGCAGCCAGTGCAAAAAACTGCACTTCCTTGTGCTCCGCCTCCTCCGCGTAAAGGCGGCATGCCAAGACGACAATGCTTTCATGTGGTCAGCCATCCTGGCGAAGCCCTAGGCCCTAGTTGATTGCTTGACTGCTCTCTAGGCTTGTCCTTCAGGCGCTTTATCGCTGGCCAGGCTCAAGAACAGAGGTTCAACATGGTTTATCAGGGGCAGAATCCAGCCGCCCATTGCAGCAAGGACTGCATATCAAGGCAACATGCAGCCCCAGAGATTCGACAATAGCCATAAACAGGCAGTGTTTTAACGAGCTGCTCCCAAAGACATATCTGCAATTCGGTGGCGTAACAATCGCAGACTTGGTGCCGCCTGTGCCGCAGAGGCATGGGTTGCTCGGCTTCGAAGCTTGAGAATTCCCACTTCCAGCTTTGAAAGGATGGGGCAGCTCCTGTGGAGCATTCTGCGGGACCCTGCACAGCTGGCACAGCGTTCATTTGAGAACCTCTTGCGCCGACGTCATTGCAGGACCTGTACGTGTTCTTGATAGTAGTGTTTCTTATCGAGCGCTTCCCGGGCAGCGATCTGATGCATGATGTCTTTCGAAAAACAGCCAGTGCCCGAGCAAGTTCCTGCTTGAGGTCGCATTGGAGCAAGAACTCTTTATGCCTCGTGGCTGCTCCCGTGAAGGTAATGGTAGCCACGATTGGTGTGGTGATCTGGAAGCTCTTCGGAGGCATGCTCTCTGAGACATCATCTGTTGGAGGCCGCTGCGCAACACTCTGCAGTTGCACAACTCTCGCTCGCGCTATCCTGGCAGCTGCTGGCCGCCAGGAGCTCGAGTCGGGGGCCCGCTCCGGCAGAAGAAGACAGAAGGACACCACTTTGGGTCACCAAGATCCCCTCATGGGTCGACGTGACTTCGCACTGAGTTGTGAAGTGCATGAACAGCCTGCTTTTGACATGTCGTCGTAGAATCAGCTGGGAATCCCCTTTCGGGATGCCCGCAGCCAGCGTTCCCGTGCCGTGTTTCTGGGTGTCCAACAGCATCCGACGGAAGTGTTCTGCTGACATGAGCACCTGTGAGGAGGCAATGGGCACGGCTTGGAGTGGGCGGTGTGCGAGATGCAGGGTTGGCGGGCTGCCATGGAGGCCAGGACGTTAACGTGAAGCTGCCAGCCGCCAGTGGAGACCACAGCTTGTCGCAGAAAAAGCTATGTCCAGGACGCCACCTGCATTGCTGCGACCTTGCCGGAGCCACTGGCACACCAGGACAGCACTGGCAGCCAACATTGGGGGCAGAATTCGCAGATGTTTGGGATGGTCCTAAAGCTGTCGTCTTGTCGTCTTGTGCTTGACCATGCCCGCTTCGACAAGATGCCGAGATGAAGCGCTTAAATGAGCGTGAATACTTTATTTGTGCGGCCCAGTGACTGTCCACTGCAGCCAGCTCCTGTCAAAAGCACTCGCATTGCTTCGGTGCGTGCGTAACAGCGAACCGTTTTCAACTGGCACATCCTTCCTGTCGAGGAGTTTTTTTGCCAGCAGCGAAACTCCTGCTCGTCACTGCTTATTCAACTTGATGTTCGTAGATGCCATGGGGTACGATCTGCTCTCTCCACGGTCCAAATCTCATGGATGCAATCACCAAGTGCATGTGCTAGAGACTGTGGTCGGGGTCTTGGTATGACAGTCCCATTGTCTTTCGCTTGCAGTTGTCGCTGCGACGAACGACCCATGCCTTCGCATGTGACACAGCGATCGGGGCGAAGTGTGGCAGCCGTGAGTCGTGTCGTTTGAGAGGCACTATTTGCAGTTTTTGATGGCCACGGAGGGTCCCAAGTGTCTCACATCGCGTCGTTGGAGTTTCCGAAGGCAGCCTGCACTTGAAATGGCACTTGGATGTTGGCCTGTGGCGGGAGCTTTTGCTCAGGTGCTGCAGGTGTGTGCAAACAAATTGCGGGACTCCGACGAGGCTCGCTTGAGGAAGCAGGCCGAGCGCCCGCCGAGAGCCCGCCTTCTTTTTCTTGCAGGTTCCTCAATCTTCGCGGCAGAAGGTATCGGTCGACGGGCGAGAGTCTGAGCTCACTGAGCTCGATTGCAAGCCTGCAGCCTACTCGTATTTGTTTTCTCCACAGGTCGCCTAGGGCCGTCAGCGGTTGCAAACCGTCTGAAGCGGAGGATATCGGCAACATCACCCCAGTTCTTGTCAACAGCGGTAGCCCAAGCGCAGGACGAGGCAGCCGAGGCTGAGCCTTGTACCTTGCAGCTTGGCTGGACCTCTGTGCTACTGCATCCGACGCGGTAGAAAGCAGTTTTGCGCGGCTGTAGGCCGGCTCCAACAAGAAATGGAGTTGAGGCTAGGGCAGAAGACATGACTGTGTCTCTACGTCGCGGGAAACCGTGAGTAACCTTGACTCTGCCGAAGCGCTTGATATCAGGCTGGCAGTGCCCGAGATGAGGGTGGACTATCAGGAAAAGCCGTGCTGCCACGCTTGCCAATCCCGACGAGTGCTTGTGAACTGAGTCATCTTGGCTGAACAGAGGCCTTTGTGAGCATTCTGATCGGGAACTGTGTTGGAGAGCACACGCAACTGCATCGTGTGGCGATGTTCGAGTCATGCTTACCTGTCATGTCGAAAGCCATGCAAATGTTGTTCGGAGCGATTCGCACACTTCTTGAGCGGATGTTGTCTCAATATCACACCTGCGACGGCGCAAAGTTACACAACAGAGAGTTAGACGAAAGGAGATCGCACTGTCATACAGTATCACGTGAGACGTGGCTCCTGGAACGGTCCTCGTGTTCCTTCGGATTTCAGGCTCACGATTCTGTGTGACAGGCCGCTCAGCTTGCATGCTTGTCCCCGGACAAGTCTCCTACTTTGCCGGTGCTTTCTGCTTGCTGCTTGCCGCTGTGACATCTGCCTTCAGCCTCCACTCAAGGACCGCAGGCCTGGTGCATCCTTAGGGCCAGACTTTGCTCTTTCAGGGACCGAGGACGGAGTGGCTCTCGTCCTTTCCACATGGCACTCTGCTTCTCGTATTTGCTTGTACCTTCTTCTCAGACCATGGCACTACAGTCGAAGTGCATCGGCATATGCGGCCCTGTCACGGTCACAGCCGAAGATGAGCTAAATAAGCGAAGGCCGAAACCTTGGCAGGGCCGCAGGTCGCATGTCAGTGTGGCAAGAGGGACGAAATACCAGCTACTGCAAGACTGGGCCGTGCCAAGCTGCGCTGAAGCCTCAGTCTGACACGTGCATAGTCTCCACCCCTAGGGCTTCTAAGTAGGTCTGGGCCCTTGGCTCATTGACTCCCGGAGTCTTGATTGCCGCATAGGGCTTCCAGCTGGGCTTCGAAAGTTCTTGCAGATGCAGCCGGGGAGATGTGTGACAAAGAGACAGCGCAGTGCCAAGTTGCAAGATGGTCGCCAGAGTGGTAAAGGAAAGATATATGAAAATCATTGGCTTCGATTTAGAAATAAAGTGCACGCGGCCGGAAAAGGATACAATCCCGCGAGCCAGTCGCGTACCCCAATTTAGACAGAGGTTCCCGCAACCAGTGCTTGAGAAGTTGCGGCACCTGGTATTTTGCCAGTCACTGTCCATGAGCATGATCGCAATGGATGCCTTCCTTCGGCAAGTGGGGCTCTCAAATTGCACCCTATGAGTTCTTCGGTCAAGGCTGTCCCAGTCGTTTGAAGTTCAGACACTGTGGCAGTTGGGCAATGGCCTCAACTCCAAAGGGAAGAGCAGCCTGCTTCAGCTTTCCAGCTGGAGCCTCAGCATTCCGTCCTGACATTGCGATGTTCACGCAGTTTTTTCTGTGTTTCAGGGTGTCGTTAGGCCACGCCGGTGCCAGGCGGAGTCAGGACTGTCGGATTTTGTCGGTCTTATCTCGTAGCTTTCTGATTCGTCTTTCGTCCTCATGGCGTCGTCGGCGCCATCGAGCAGCCAAGTTTCAACTGCTTTCGGCAGGCTTTCGAGTTTAGTGCGGAGACGAGTCCCGCGGCCCGGGGCGTTTGTGGCCGGCAGACCGAGAGATGTGAGGTCCACTGGGCATCATGGCCAGGCACCTCGAGGCCAACTGGCAAAGCCCGTTTTGCATGTGGCATGTGCTTTGGACACACTGGTACTGTCGTGCAATGCATCTATCCCAAAGCCCCTGTGTGTTCAAGTACAAATGCTATGGCACATGTGCCGGGCTGTAGCTGGCACTGCCTTAGCTGAGCCATGGCGCAGCTGCAGCCCAAGATGCATGCAGCAGGCTGCACACGTATCAGCACTGTGATTTTTCCAGGCCCGTGTTTACGAGATGTCGCGGCATTTTCAGCCTGGCCACCTCGAGCAGGGGCTTTCTCTCTTCTGCACGCCACCCGAAGGGGTCTTCAAAGCTTGCACAAACAGAAGCAGTCAGCTTGGCCGTCCCGGAGCGCAGCATGAGGCCTTCAGACTCGGGCCCAAGAAGGCCATCAGCTTTACTGGAGTCCTGTGTGCAAAAGAGCGTGCGAGTGTGTGCGAGAAAAGGCAGCGAAGGGAGCCAGCAAAGCTCCTGCGGCGGCGGCAGCCTCCGCCTCCGCCGGACCGAGCGGGGCCAGCCAGGCCCAAGTGCAGTCCAGCTGCCGTCGCCATCGCCAGCTGAGAAATGTCGGCTGCCCAGGTCTTCAACATCTATGCAGACCGCCCGGACGAGGAAATCAAGCCAGACAGCTGGTGCCTTCAGCGGAATTAAGTCTGATTTGTGTGAAGCCCTTGCATCTGCCTGCAATCCAGCCATGCCAGGTATCCGAAATGGCTATGGAACCTAGAAACGCCCCCGAAGCATTACGGGGAGCCATGTGCTGCAACCATGAGAGCGGCCTGCCTTGCCTATGATCTCGCCCTCGCCTCTTTCCTCCCTAGGATCTGACGCTTATGTTCGTGCACGGGATCGATATTGAGGAGGTGCACCCAGATCGAAGAAGTTGAAATTGGTCCACAGTTCAGCTAGAGACTGGAGAAACAGGCCACCCTGAGCGACTACCAGCGTTTTTTGCGGCTGCACCGCAAGATGATCATAAAGATCAACAACCTTCGGCTCAAGCGAAGCAAGCGAAGGCACCCTGGCGGCTTGCTCAAGGACCTCCTTGCAAGAATGGCACTGCTTGTTGTGCTAGGCCCGGCCTCAAGATCGCCTAAGTGAGAGAGCACTGCTTGAGCACTTCAGAAAAGTGGAGCGCTTCGGCGGTGTTCCTTTTCCAGATTCCGTATCGGCAAGACTCCCTGGCCAGAGTGTGCCGAAGCGTTGCCAAAATGTCCGAACAACAGCATGTTCGGAGGGGCATGGCATGTTCTGTTCATGTTCAAGATTCATGCCAGTCCGTGCTGGGTGCTGCTGGAATGCATTTCCGAATCAAAGTCCGGCAGTTCATGTCCAGGCTAGCAGCCAGAGGAATGCCTTCAATTTGGTAGGTGGCTGCCTCAACTTAGTGACTTAGTGGAATCGACGTGAACTTGCGCACTGCCAGCTGGCCAGGGAGCACTGCGATTGTGGCCCTCCTTGATAAAACAGGCAGCAGCCCGGATTCCATTCTGCGCCTTTGCCAGGAAGTGTTCTGGGATTCTGGGAAGCTTCTCGGTTTGCCTTTTCGCCGCAGGCGACTCGCGCAGTGTCACCGTTGCCAACTGTGGCGACTCTCGAGCTGTGCTCTGCCGCAACGGCACAGCCAGACTCCCAGCGGAATCCAGCGCAGACACAGCAGACACCACACCGCACTGCACCGTATCGCTATGTGGAGAGAAACACAGCCTGCGTCTTGTTGTAGTGACAATTGCTAGCGTGGATGGTGGGTTATTTTAACTGAAAGTATCGTTCGTGGCCATTTTGGTCTCAAGGACGATACCCATCTTTTGGGCAAGTCCAAGGAACAGGGTGGAGATTGTCTATGGACCTGGCGGTCGTTCCTTATAGCTCGCCTTTGACCTTCGCCTTTGGCGGGTCACTGGTGGGCTGGGAGGACACCCAAGGGGTACCTGGACTTCTCCTTAGCCTGTGCTTTTGCGTCTGGGTTTTCGGATTCTGCTGCGGTAGTTGCTGGGCACGACCGAGCTCAGCACCCGTGGCAGGCCGGGCCCAGCCGACGCCTGCGCATTCCCCTTTGGACCGGTGGGCACGGATTTCCCAGAGGGCTGTGAACTTCGTTCGGAGCCGGAGGCGGCTCTCCCTGGCCTTTGCCAACCTCGGGAACTACAGCCTCCGCAACACCACCGAGTCCCGCCCGAATCTCCGGAGGAGGGCAGCACGGAGGGCCTCGACGCCTGGGCCCATACTTCACGAAGGCCCCGCTCTTCAGAATGGACCCGACCGACGCGGAGCTGGCGGCGATAGCAGACCTACCGGGAGTGTTCACGTGGGCAGGAGTGACAGGGGCCTTGGAGCGAGCACTGCGGGCGGCATTGGGCGACCCAGCTCGCGTGCGAGAGCTAGCCCTCGTCCCTAGAGCTGCCTGGGACACCATGGTGAGCACCCTGCAAGTGGCAGGACCAGCCGACGCCGACGGCAATCCAGGCCCGCCCCGGGACTTGACCTTGGTCGAAAGAGCCAGGATCGAGTCGAGCCGCCGAGTGGCTTTGCTGCGCATGGGCATCCCTCCAGACGTCCCAGGGGGAGCAAGCCCGCCAGCACCAGCTCCGACAACAGGGCCGGCACCCACGGGGTGCACACCGGCGACAGGAGCGAGGAGGCTGAAGTTGTCGTCCATCCTCGACCCCACCTTGGACGCCGAGGTCTCGCCGCTGGGCGCCGCCGAACTTCAACAACTCTACAAGGACTACAAGGCCAAGTTCGGCGATTACCCCAGCCCGGATGCCGATCCCTCCTCGGATCAAGTGGCGTCGCTGCGCCAGGTGGTGGCCGCGGGAGCTGCACCTTACGCAGATTTCTCGCTGTTCGGGCCTCACGGCCTGCGCCTCCTTCGCAAACAGACGTTCACGAGCTACACCCTGAACGTTGCCACGGGCGAGTGGTCCAAGAAGGAACAGCCGGGCCCCTCGAGCTACCACACGTGGATGGAAGCTTGGAAGGTGTTCCGCACCACGCTCCTCTTGCTGGAGATCGCCGACGCGGAGAGGCTGGACGCCTACGCGGAGCACATCAGGTCGTATGTCACCCAGTTTTCCGACAACTGCTGGTGGCTGATCTACAGGGCGGAAAACCGCCTTCGCTGTGAACACCTCGAACGCATCCGGCGGACCTTGACTGACCGCCCGGAGTTCGGGTTCACTAGCGCACGGCCCTGGAACGCGTGCTTTGCTGCGGCCGTCCGTGACAGCGACTTCTGGACAAGAGAGCTGATCACGCCCGCGACCCTCTGGTTGTCTCAGAGGCAGCCAGGAAGCGGGAGCGACGGCAGCGGCGGCGGCGGCGCTGGCACTGGGCAGCCCAAAGGTCGAGTTGGGCAAGGAAGTGGCGCCGACGATGGCTCCCCGAAGAAGAAGCAAAAGAAGGGGCGCTATGATGGGGAGGACAGGAGCGAGAAGAAGGACGGGGTGTATATCCTCAACAGGCGTGGCGCCAAAATATGTGGTGGATATAATAAGGGGAAATGTGGCAGCAAGAAGCCACAAGGCAAATGCCGAGATGGCTGCAGCCATCAATGCAACATGTGCCTCGGCCCCCACCCCGCTACGGACTGCAACCGCGCCTGACTCCCCGCCGACCTCGCTGATTCAACGCCCTCTTCGGCGGCAGCCGGGGGTGAGACAGCGGCGGCTCCGCCTGGCACTTCTCATGGGGGGCGGTACGTCAAGCCGACGCCGAAGCGGAAGGCAGGGCCGGCAGGCGACGCGAACCAGCAGCTGGTGGACAAGACGGCGCAGTCCAAGGCATCGGGCACCCGACCCTCCGAGCCGTGTCAGCCTCCAGCGCAGAAGCCACCGACGCCGCCACGGCCTGGCAGAGGCCCGATGCCACCCAGCCGGCCATTTCCTCCACAGCCGACGAAAGCCCGAAGGCCAAGGTGAAGAAGCACGCAGCGGCGGCAGCCACGGGCAACAGAACGAAGGGTGCGAGCGGCAAGCTGGCCAGCACCCAAAGCCTCCTGCTTGTTCCCCCGCTGGAGACGGCGTGGCCCGACTACCAGCCGCTGGTCAGGGGCCCACGGCCGTATGGGATGTGGATGGAGCAGCCCGCCGACTCCTTTGTGGATGGGCACTCATCCTTTTCAGTGGCCGGCGCCGCAAAGGAGACCTTCCCAACTGGCTGGTGCACTATGGCTTCATGGTGTGCTGTGTCGACAGGGACTCCTCGCCGTCATGTGACGTCCTCGACGAAAGTCAGTGGAACTTAGTCGAACGAGACATCATTGACGGGCACTTCTCTGTGGTGTGGGCTAGCACACCTTGCGGCACCTTCAGCCCGCTGAGGGAGGTCCGCCCGGGACCCCGACCGCTCCGCACGGTTGAGCACATAGAGGGCAAGCCGGACCTCAGCCCGTCGGAGAAGACACAGGTCAAGGAGGCCAACGTGCTGGTGGAACGCACGCATGATGCACTGGTGGCGGCCTGGGACCAAAAGCTCACCTGGGGCTTGGAGAACCCGACCCACGGCGAGAACAAACCGGAACTTTGGCAGATGCCGCTTAGCCGCCAACTCGCGGGCCTCGAACGGGTCGCCGTCGCAGCGTTTGACCAGTGCAAGCTCGGCCTGGACACGGTGAAGCCCACCAAGATCCTCTACAGCAGCAACGCCAGTGGCTTTGAAGTTCTGGACGGGCTTCGGTGCGATCACCCTCCAGGTTCCCATGGCAGCACCGCCGGGAAGAAGGAGAGGGGCCCGGCCGGCTCCAGGCAGTGGGCCTCCAAGCGCCAGGGTGAATACACGCCCCACCTCTCCCAAATCATCGCTCATTCTCTGTACCAGGGCTTCCGCGTCAGGGCCCTGGAAACGGAGTCCCTTTGAGCGGCTGACCCCACCACGGAGTTCCAGGCCCTGGCGGCGAAGGGCCCGAGGACGGAGAGGGACAGGGAGAACAGCCAGGCCTTGGGCGGCATGCGAAACCCCCGCCGTTCACTCCGCAGGCTGCCCAAGTCGAGAAAGGTGGGTCGGGCCATCCACAAGCTGCTTCGAAGCTCCATGCAGCAGTGGCCTGGTCGAACCGGCGCTCGCCATCCTGGAGGGGAGGAAGCCGGAGGAGTTCGAGATCCGGGCAGCCGTGCTCACAACTTTGGGGGCCCGGGCCACGACACGCGAGCGCACGGCCCCGCGAGCACGCCACTTCGGGCCGAGATCTTTGAGGCCTGGGGCAAAGCCACAGACGACCCAGACTCGGCAACACTGGCCGGCTGGCTCGACCACGGGGCGCCCCTGGGCTTAACGGAGGACATCCCTTCCACCGGGGTCTTCCCACCGGTGGTGCCTCGGGACCTAAAGCCCCACGAGAAGCTCGACCGCAGGGCTCTTGAGGGCTGGTCCAACTACAAGTCGGCCGAGGAGGAGGCACACGTGCTGGAGGAGCTCATCACCGACTACGAGAGAAGAGGGTTCTGCACGGTGGTTTCCACCCTGGAGGAAGCCATCGAGATCTTGGGCGGCCCGCCCGTCCTCAACCGACTCGGCGTCCTGGTGAAAGAAAAGAAGGATGCACAGGGCAACCTTGTGCGAAAGGCCCGGGTCATATGGGACCTGAAAGAGTCACAGGTGAACAAGGCGTGCAACCAGGGAGAAAGGATTATCCTCCCTAGGCTTCTGGACGTGGTTGCCTCCCTCTTGGCGGCCTATCGGAGGGGCCGGCCACCCTTCCTGGCGTGCATCGACATCCGGGACGCCTTCATGAATATACCAGCCGGGAAGGACCGGCGCTTCACGGTGGCGGCCGTCCCTCGGAAGCGGAACCGAGGCAAGATGCACAAGCTGGTGTTCTTTAACACGTTGGTGTTTGGATCGGCGTCCTCACCAACCGTGTGGGGACGCGCCGCAGCGTGGCTTGGAAGAACGACGGCAGCCACGGGGCCAGCCGACACCCAGGTGTACGTCGATGATCCGGTCTTCGTTCTGGACGGGCCGCACTTGAAGGTCGCCGCCTCGGACCTGACGGTGGCCTTGCTTTGGGCCGCCGTTTCAGGCTACCCCGTCAAGCTTTCGAAAGCCTGTGGTGGCAAAGACCGGTGCGTCGACGCGGAGGAGGCGGTGATCGTGACCCTGCCGGCCTCCAAAATTCAGGCCCTCCTGCAGGACACCGACAAGTTCCTGGGCCGATCAGTGGTGGGATCAAGGGAGCTACGCTCCTTCACGGGGGCCCTCTCTTTCGTTGCGGGCCTGGTGCCGCACTTGCGGCCGTTCCTGGCTACTTTCTGGGCGGTTTTGACCAGGCATGATGTGACGGGTGAAGGTCGGCATGCTTTGTCGACCCGAAGGCTCATACATGTCAGGCGGATCCGCCCGGCACTCTGCTGGGTTCGGGTGCTACTAGCCGGAGGCCCCACCATCGAGAAGATCTTCTACGCCAACCCGCCCAAGGTCGACCAGGGGGGCGTCCCACGGCCTACTTCTACCTCCACATCTCAGAGGACGTCCTCCGGAAATTCGGGGCAGAGCGGGGCCTGCCGAAATACAACACGCTGTGGGAAGGACTGGCCCTTCTGGTCGCCTTCCGCTTGTGGCTGCCTTCCCTCGTTCACGGCGCCACTTTTCGGGCCAAGTCGGACAACCTCGGGTTCCTCATGGCACTTGCCAAGGGAAGCGCAAGGTCGGCGGACCTCAATGTGCTTGCTCGAGAGTTTGCCTTCGACCAGGCGACACGGGCCTACCACGTGAACGGTTTGGTCCACATCCCCGGCGTCACGAATGTGCAGGCGGACGCCCTTTCTCGCCAGTTCGCTCCGGAGGCAAAACGCTTCCCAAAGGAGCTGCTGGAGGTTCCTCGTGACGAGGTCCTCATCAACGATCACTTCTGGAAAGTGTGAGTAAAAGGTTCGTTGCCTTGCGGGTTCATGTCTCCTTCTCGCTCTCCCCCCGCTCGTTTGCTCTCTTCTCCGGGGTTGTGCTGTGCCGTTTGGTCACGCGCTTCTGCAGATGCCGCGGCCCAAGAGATCGTACGCGGTAGCCTTCCGGCCCTTAAGTAACCCCACCACGCTTCGAGACCCACCGAGGGCACCTGGCATTCTTCACGAGGGTCCTGCCCTAGGGCGGCCCGACGTGGGTGCGGGAACCCAACCGGGGGGCTTGGCGGGTGCAGGGCCAGAGGCAGTAGCTAGAAACAATGGGGAGCCAAGTGCATATCGTCGGGGGTCGGCGGCACTGGCCATGGAAGCTTTAACTGACCCCGTTCATTGCCGTTCGGTTCTGCTGGCCGACTCTAGAGCGACCACCTCCATTGGACCCGTTGAGTCTAGACTCAGGCAATGGGTGGCTTGGTCAGTGTGGGCAGGGCTCGAGCCTTACCCCCTAACACCCGACGGAATGTACATCGTCATGGGTGGGCTCAAAGAGGCAGGCTACCGCTCAGCGATGCAATACCTGGACCTTGCCAAGCAAGAACACGTCCAGAAAGGACACCCATGGACGGACCAGTTGGCCCTAGCGTATCGGGTTTGCTCGCGCTCCTGCAAGCGAGGGCTTGGTCCAGCCAAACAGGCGGCGGCCCTCCCGCTTGACAAGCTGGCCGGGTTGGACCAGTCACGCTGTCAAGTCCCCTCGGGACCGGCGAGGCCAGTCTCCTCCACTATAGTGGCGTCCTGGTGGCTTTTACGTGAGCTGGAAGCGTCCCGCGCCAAGGTTCGGCACATTACCCTGGACTTCGGGGCGAAAGTAGCCGCGTGGTTGCTACCGTCGTCCAAGACGGATGTGGCAGCGCTTGGGGCCACCCGCAAGCACTCTTGTTCCTGCGCCGTTTTACATCCAGACCTTTGCCCTTTTCACACCCTAGCGTCTCTGGTACAGGGAAAACAACCGGAAGATCCAGTTTTTGTGGACCTGGATGGATGCCCACCATCAAAGCATGGGTGGGCCGACACGTTCCAACGAATCGCGGCTCTGCTGGGTCTCCCGTTGTGCCATCACAACGGAGCTCGGGCTTTCACTGGCCACACGGCACGCGCTACAGGAGCGCAGTTCCTAGCCTTTAAAGGAATCGAAATTTGGCGCATCCAAATTTTTGGGAGGTGGGGAAGCGAAGTGATTCTCCGGTACGTCCGCGATGCCCCTCTAGCACAGCTGAACGAGTTGGCCATCGAGGCTGGCGACAGGGAAACCTTAGCCAAGATTCGCAGCGATCTGGACAGGCTTATGCGGGAGGCCAGACCTTCACTGGCAATCCCCGATTCCAGTTGGCACTTTGAGTGCCAGGTCAGGGGCGCGCCGGCGTCAGGCCCGGCGGCCATCCACACTAGCACGGCCAAGGCCCTCGTCCTCAATACGGCTCGGGGTGGCAAGCTTCACAAATGCCTTAGCGATTTCAGCTCACCCCAGGTGGCGCTGAACCCGAGCTCGTGGCGTACCTGTTGTCTTTGGCCCTTCGCGTCAGGCGACAAATCCTTTCAATGGGTGCCTCTCCGCCATAAAGGCAGGAGATGCAAACATTGCTTCCCCAGCCAGAGGCGGGCTCCGTCGGAATCGGAGTCAAGCTCCTCTTCCTCTTCCAACTCGAGCACAAGCTCGAGTGACTCTTGATACCGAAAACAACCGCGCTAAGCAGGCGGGACGGATATTTATTTGGCAGTTGTTGGTCAGGTCATGCGGGTATCTTCTGCCCACTTGAGTTTGTCCAAGGGCCCTATCGGCTCCTTTTGGACATAGCAAGCGGAGCGACCTTTACGACCAACTGTTGAAAAGTCCGTCTGCTTCGCTTAGTAGATGGTGGTTGTTTGGGGAGCGGATAGCAATTGTCGAGAGAAACACAGCCTGCGTCTTGTTGTAGTGACAATTGCTAGCGTGGATGGTGGGTTATTTTAACTGAAAGTATCGTTCGTGGCCATTTTGGTCTCAAGGACGATACCCATCTTTTGCCCACCCGCCCACTCCGGGGTATCTTCTGCCCACTTGAGTTTGTCCAAGGGCCCTATCGGCTCCTTTTGGACATAGCAAGCGGAGCGACCTTTACGACCAACTGTTGAAAAGTCCGTCTGCTTCGCTTAGTAGATGGTGGTTGTTTGGGGAGCGGATAGCAATTGTCTCGCTGTGTACTCCGCGTCTCCGAGGCCGTAGAACTTTCCGAGGACCTGCGGAGAGCCGACAGCTCCCAGCAGTTGCACAAGAGGGTTGGCAGCTAGGTCAAGAATCAGGTGAGTTCGCTATTGGTGTGCAGAGATATTCAAACTCAGAAGACAGCTAGAAAAGTCGTGCAGGACCACAAGCCTGAGCTGCACAGCGAGGAGAAGCGTATCAGGCGGCCATGCCGACCTTTTGCAACAACACACAGTGGGGCCAGGGGAAGACAGTCGCACCATACTTCTGGCTCCGCCTAACAGTTTTCATCGAAGATTCTGCATCCCATTCTGACTGGCCACTTTGTAAAGTTTTTGTTGCTTGCCGGCGCAGCACCTGCAGCTGAGTTGCAGGCAAGCAGGTGGCTCCGTGAAGTTGATCGGGCCCTGTCATCGCATAGACGGGCCGCGCGCCAAGGGAAAACGCGAGTGGCGTCAGCTGCTGTGCTCTCTGCATATCTGAGGTGGGGGCTTAACCTCTCCAGGGCCCTTGGCGACTTTCATTACAAGGCAAACGAACTGTGGGTCGCCAAAAAACCTTAGCAGGGAATCCCATCTCATCACAGGCTCGGCCTGACTTGAGTGCGGAACAGCAGAAGGTCATCGCTGTGCCGGAGGCACACGGCACACGCCCAACCGACCTGCTGACGATTCGCAGTTGCCTCCCTTGGAGATACGGACGGTGGAACTTCACAGTGACGATGAGTTTCTTGCGGGAATCTGAAAGGGCTGAGGGGCGGAGGGACTCGGACCAGCTTCGCCGCTTCGCCTTTGCACTCGCGTTGAAGGTTTTGGCTTGCGATGGCTGCTTCGAGCTCCATACTTCCCAGGCCGCCAAACACATAGCATTCGCAAGCTCTTGCTGTACTCCGTGGGTAGACTCTAGACTCCTGCTTCGAATTGCTGACTGGTTTCAGAAAGTGGTGGACATCGTCAGAGTTGCGTTGAGGGCAGGCCAAACCGTGATGCAGGCGGGGTCTCTCTGAGATGGGCAGAGAGCTCGGCCGCTCGGCTCACGAATCTCTCGACCTTCCAAGGCCGCTGAAGAGCTTGTCGACCAAAGCTGTAGCCCAAACCTGGTCAAAACCAGGGGGAAGGGCTTCGATCTCAGAGGTCAGCATCTTCGTGTCACGAAGAAGAGCCACCGCCACTCGCATCATATAAGGTGGCGACAACTGCAGCGCCATTGTCATCAAGCTTTAGTGAAGCCTTAGCCATGTTGACCCTGGTTTCCACATTGGCAAGATCGTTTTTCCAAGGCTTGCTGGTTTCATGAGTGTACAGAGAGCTCACAAAAGCAGCTCGAAGCACAAAGAAAGCACACCCCCAATTCCGAACGTTCTTCAATTTCCGAGCCTCACCAAGCTGTACCGGTCGATACAATCTGGGGTGGTCATTCTGCAGTTATAGCTCTGCTGGCTCTGCGAATACTGTAAATGATTTGGTCGGAAAGTCTCAGACAATACAGGTGCCGGGCGTCCAAAGTCGAAAAGGCTTTTTGCCCAATTTTGGTTTGTCTGGCTCCGGCCTCATGCTGCCGGACAGCAGATCTGCGACAGCCGCGGCAGTTTGAACAATCTGCACGGGCCCATAGCATCCCATACCCCGTGCATTTTGCCGGATGTTGAGCATGGCAGCTAAGTATCCGGGCTGTTGAAGGACACCTACTCTAAACTGAAAGTGTGTGCAGCCATGGTGCCACCATGCTGTGTGTGCCGCTATGGCGAAATGCTCAGCCTGCATGGCAACTGCGAGCTGAGGGTCACTCCCAAAAGCCGAAGACAAGATCCGACAAACCCAAGAACATGAGTTTTCTGACAAAGGCTGCTTGGGTTTGAGCTGGTCTTTGCCGTCCTTGCTGCCTTCTCCTTAGATTCCTTCCAGCGGCTTCTTCTGTTCACTTGGCTTCGAACACAGCCTCGCTGAAGGACAGCACCTGCCAATCGAAAATTCATGAGGCCAAATCATCTCGAGCTAAAAATGAACCTGTGCTTGATCTTTTCTCAAGGATTGGCCATCGGTGCATCGACGGTTGTTGAGACTTTTGGAGGGGCAGGCCCGATGCCGGGAAAGCAGAAGCTGCAGAACCTGTAAATAAACCCGCTGAAGGTTTCGGGTTTCTGTAGTAGTAGATGTGTGGTTCTTCTAGAATTGCTCGGCTGCGCGTGTATTCCCTGCCTGCGAAATCTGCATGAGGGCGGGACGGAAACGCTGGCTGACGAGCTGGACAGAACAGCATCATCATTTGCTGAAAGGCGGTCGTTGTCTTTCCGTTTTTTTGCACCACTCCGTGGCTGCAGAGTTCGACAGGGCTGTCCCTCGGTTGGATGGCCAGCTCGAAACGGACTGCGTTCCCGGGCGAGTCTCACTCGATCTCCTCCTGCTCTTAAGCCAGCAGAATAGCTACGGCCTCAGATGAGGCAGAAGGCCTGCTGAACGTTGCTCCTCAGCGCGTTTGCTCACGGACAGAGTCACGCCTCGGAACGCAAGGCCTGACGGATGCCGACGATGTTTGGAAGGACTCTCAGATGATTCCTATCCCATGTTTTACGTGGTCTCGCATAACAACGGGTACTGTATAGGGGGGCGTGAAACAGAAGTGTGTGTTGAGGAAGGTGGCCTCTTGGACTTCAACAGGGACCTTCTGGTAGGATGGCCAGCAGTCGTGGTGCCCTCGATGTTTCGTCCTATCCTCTTGCATAGACCGCGCCTTACACAGGCTCGAAGCGGCTGGCCAGTTTTCCGGCTTCTTCGTCTTTTGCAGAACAGGGCACAGGCGCCGGCTTCCCATTGAGTCCGTCCAGACGTGCAGCGCCATGAATGAAGGCACATGCAGCAGCACCGCCTTTAACTGGATGCAACGAGGACAGAACTGCATTTCGTTTTCATTGGGGTGCGAGTCTTTCGAGTTCAGCTTGCACTAGACTAAATAATGTAATAGACATAGCTGGGCTTGAGCAAGACTGGCTCATGACAGGATGCGGATGAATTTGCGGCGACTGTGATGAAGCATGTGCGACATCGCAAACCTCAGGATGAGGTCCGATTGATGAGATCTGCCCTTGGCAGAATACCAGCGTCCGCAGGCCTTGCTTGCCGCCAGTGCCATGTTTGTCCTCAGCTCACCAAGAAGCCGTCACTCGCCACAATGCCCGTGGAAGAGCGGAGTCGGAGTCCCGGGCAAGTTTCAGGATGCCCGCTCTCGGTTGCAGCGGCGTACCTCTCAAGTGCCTGGGCCGCGAGCGCAGGCCAAACCACTCCCGCCCGAATCTAATCTCGAAGCTTCACGAGGCTCGATTTCCAGTGTTCGACGAGGAGACCGAGGACGGTTGGATCGTGGCCGTTGATTGATCGTGAACTCGTGGGGCTAGAATTCTTTCCTTTTCCGAGCTGACCGGTGGGGTGGCGTGGCAGAAGCGCACTTCCGATGTCAGTATTCTCCACAGGCATTGCAAAAGTGATGTCTGCACGTTGATTGTGTCTGAGCTTGTAGTTTTATCCGCAGTTCCTCTGGGCAGCCATGGACCCATGCATTGACATCTCTACAAAAAACAGTGCATTCGAGTGTCCACAAAGCAGTTTCTCCTTGTGAGGATCTTCTCGGCTTAGCTGAGATGAATATGCGAAATGTTAGCCGCAACCTCAGACTGGTGAACGTGGCATTCTTAATTATGCACCGTGCTGGTGCATCAGCTGGGCAGAGCCCAGAACGATGAAGCAGGACGCACGGGTTGCCCTGAGTCAGACGACGCAAGATCTTTAGCAGGCTTGGCCAGACTCCTGACAACGCAGCACCCGTTGCTGGACATGCTGGATGACGTCGCCAGTTCCTACCAGGCACCGGTTGAACCAGCCGGCCGCAGCGATGGCTGACCCTGCAGAACCTTCGAGGGCTGGCTAAAAGGAATCATGTGAAAGACGACTTCGTCAATCTTCCTATCAAGTCTACTAGGGAATGTGGCCTTGTCATGTCACGAAGCGTAGCAGTGAGGCCTCAGCTGGAGTTCTGGCTTGCCAAGACTTCTCGAACCCTATCTTCAAGTACATTGGTCAGGGCGGCTCCCACCGAAAAGATTGTCAAATTCAGCAAGTTTGTGCGGATGCTGATCACGTATGGAGTTTGTTGGCTTTAGGGTGGGCACCCCTTGTCTCTTGGCTTTCAGCCCCCCTGTGACCCCCCCTCCCACGCCGAGGCTAGCCTTAGTGCTGTGTTTGATCCGTTCTCCTGCTTTTCCACTGCCACTGCCAGTGGTACTCTTGCCACTAGCTGTGGCAGTGTGCTCATCCTGTTGGACTTCAGGCAAGCCAATCGGGAGCTTGATTTAGATTTTGCAAAGCCTGAAGCTGCGCCCAAACGTAGTGCTCAAAGATATTTATCTCATCGTCGACCTCAGCCGCTCGGGTGTGGGTGCTGAGTTTCTTTTGAGAAGCAAGTTTGGCTTGAACCCGGCGAATTGTTCGAGCAGCGTCTCTTTGCGAGCGAACTTAAGCACGAGTGCGCCCGACTTCTCTCGCGATTGTATGCAAGTCACAAGAGTGCAAGGGCACACAAGGTGAGACCATACTCCGCAAGCTGTTTGCAGGCGTTCTTAATCGATTCCGGAGCCCTCTACGTTGTTCTGCCCTCAGTGATAACGGCAAGCCTAGAGCCGCCTAGGGCCTAGAAAGCCGCTGCTTGGAAAGATCTGAGGATCTCAGGGACGAGAACAGCTCGAAGGCACGAGGGCTCGGGCGGTTGGGCGGCTGGACTCTTCTCTTCTTCTCTTCTTTTCCTGCTTTCTTTCCTCTCTCCGTGCAGGCCACCGAGCCCCGAGTGGACTACACGCGTCACATGATGGTGACAGACGACTTCACGTCTAAGGCTGGAGCAGGGCAGCTTCTTGTGACAGAGAGATGCGAATCATGTCCGCGTCTTCCCGCTCTAGGCCGCGTTCTCAACTTGTGCGGATGATATGCTAACTCCGCGGTCCTCTCGGATAGCTGTCCTGTCATTCATTGATCCATTCTCGCCGCGCTTGCGCTTGCCTGCAACCGTCTCAGGTCAGGGCGTTGCAACAGCTTCGCAGCCTTGGGGAATGCTCTGTTGCCGTGGAAGACGGGCATCTCCCAGGAGGACACTCTCCGTGCTCTTCGCACTGAGGACGGCTCAACGGCGTGGGGCTTTGGGGGTGTGTTGCTGTGCTTTTCCAGACGAGTGCGGAGATGTGTGGAGGACGGAATTCAGAAGGCGCTAGTCTTCCGACTAGTTGAAAGCCACTCGGCCAGCGCGGAACTTCTGCTCCTGGCCATCCCAGAGGCACCCACAAAGCGTGACTTCTTGTCTGCCTGCTTCATCGCACCAGGCTCTTGAGACACGCGAGCAGCTAGCAGACTGCCTCGCAGCTACCATCATTGCGGTAATAGCAGTGTTGCCGGCGATGCCAAAGCCCTGCCCTCAGGTTTTTCCTTTGCCTGTTGTGTGATGTTGCCTGCTTCCTGCTCTGATACTCGTTGTTGTTCCCGCTAGGCTAGAGATGGTGGTCAACCTTGGAGATGAAGCTGTGTCACAACGGAGATCATATTCGTGGAGCCCTCCTTACGGTCGCCGAGAGGCTAGGCCAAGTAGAACGTGTGTTGAACTGCCCGAGTATTCTGGACAGGATGTGCCCCCACCTGTGTTCAGCTTCTGCAGCTCCTTGGTCAGATCGCCACTGTTTAAGGGAGGATGCTGATTTCTTTGTGCATCAGGTGATCGGAAAAACTTTTGGGATATACCGTTGCCAACCTCCCTCTGTCACCGCTTCCGACCACGCTGCAAGACCGGCAACAAGGCACAAGCAGCCTGCTGCCCAGACCTGCATCCCTCTGTGAATAAGTTTCCTGCTTAACCGAGCAGAGCCTTGAAGCTGAACACGCCTGTGGAGGACTCCGATGCGGAAAGAGGAAAGAGTCTGAGCGGCCGTCTGAGCGGCCAGCCGTCGCTCGAAGCGAAGCAAGAAGAGTGCTACGTCTTCAGACTGCTTCGTGGCCAAGATTAGTGCCAGCGCACCACTGACAAGTTTAATTGAAGGCAGAGGCGAAGACACAAGCCGCATGGGCCATTTTCTGTCATGAGCTTTTCAATGACAGTCACTCACATTCGCGTCAGTAAAACCGCCTCACTGTACGAGCATCCTTGAATGACATGCTCACCACACGCAGACCAGCTTTGTACGTGTAGCCCTGCCCTTTGCTTGATGCAAACGTCTCCGTCCATCTGGTGCTCTGTTGACGTTGCCGCTGACAGGCTGATGACCTATGCAGAACTCCTTCGCTACAGGCCTATGGGCCATGCGATGGAGGAAGAGGCAGGTGAAATTTTAGAGCAAGATGCAGAGAAAGCAGACAGTGCTCATCCACAGGCAGTAACCATGGATGATCTGGTTCTGACATCTGGGGCCCCTCGTCGTGGGAGTAAGCTGCAGTGCGCCAATTCCAGTTGGCTGGAGAATCGGTGACGGGAATACCGGAAGCAGACCAGAAGGTTGTGGTCCTGAAATCGTGGTCGGTGCAGTTCAGCCGATTGCCCGGATTTGTTCAGCGGTGCACCGGTGCGACATGCCATAGCACATCTCTAAGGCCCGATGGCAGAAGAGATGATGTTGCGATGTGATCTGAATCTCAACAGCAGCGCAGCGGCGCAGCTCTTTGCAGCTTGAACGGACCGGGCAGGGGTTGCAATTTGAGGCTCATGGCAAGGGCAGCTGCCTGAAAGGGACGGGTCACCGACTCACCTCCTGAGCGCTGAGCGGCAGCAAAGCATGGTCACGTCTTTGGCATGTTTTTGGGGTTTTTAGTTCATCCGCGACGAAAGCGGTGCACATTTGAACGTGAGCTGAAGTATCCGGCCAATGCAACGTCGGTTCAAGTTTTCCGGCTGCAGAAGCTGCTTGAACTTCAGATCTGCGATCCCAGCCGTCAGTGGCCAGTGACCAGCAGGCTGCAGCACTTCGCAGCCGTCCCAACAAGCCAGCAAACGTGCACAACATCACAGACCCACAGACACCTTGACGATTCGAACCACGTGGCGCGCACGCGCGACCTGGAGGCTCGACCAGACTTTTGGTTTTGGCCTGACTCGCAGCAGCCTGAGCAGGATGCAACCATGAGCAGAGGCGCAGAACATGGCCCTTGGGACTTGGGCTTGCTGCCCGCTGTAGCGTTTGGGAAGACCTCGGGGCCGATGCGGATTGCGCACATTGCAAGACGTACAGACAGACGCGAAGTGAGCACGATCCTAAGATCCTTGCTGCGCAACCTTGCGGAGAGGCCATGTAGGCTTCTCAACTCTGCTGTTTACCTATACTTTGGAGGCCAGTGACTTAGCAAGCAAAATCTCAGCAAATAAGTTGACTTGGTGCTTCAGAAAGCAAGGGCCGCCCTGTGGCTCAGCTGCAGGTCCTGACTTCTCGCGCTGCTGCGCAGACGGTCAACAGCCCTGACCTTACCCAAGGTTCCAACTGGCCAAGCTGTCGCCGGACATATTTCAGCCGTCACCGTACGGTGCGCAACAGCAGATGCAAGTGACTGAGCAAAGTGTAGTCGAATGTAATGTATCGTATCAGATGTGGAATAGCACCAACTCTCACCCCAGCCGCAGTTCGGGCATCTTCAGCATGACCAGCGCACTAGCATCAGAATCATGCACCCAATATACACTGATTACCACACTCCGTGAGCGACATGCTCCAATCGTGATCTGCACTGGTAACCCATGAGGAAATCTTTTCCGTGTTCGTGCCGTTGGTAATGGTGGTGGTGTGGTGCTGGTGCTGGTGGCAATGCTGCTGCTGCTGCTGCAGCCGCATTGGTAGCTTCGTCGGTAGCGAACTCATAACGACGGCCAGCGTGCCACGCTGCAGTTTCGTGGAGCGACGCAGAACTTACCAGGTGGCATTGGGCCACTGGTCCAACAGGCAGAATCAGAAGTTCCTGCACTCCAGAGCAGAGCAGTACCGTTGAAAGCAGCCCGTGTTTGCTGGAGAAGGCTGATGCGAGACCCGGCACGGTGAAGTCCTCAGAACTGACTCGAAGTTAGACAGAAGTTATCAGCTGCTTGGCATCACTTGACATTTACTTCAACATGTCGTTGTGGCAGCTCCACTGGGCCCTGGCCGTGATCCTCATTGTGGTGCTGCTCGTGGGGCTCTTCCGCTCTTACCGAATCTTGAAACAGGCCACAACACAAACGTGTTTTGCTCTCAATTCCGAGAAGCTTCTGCGTGAAATGTGCTTAAGACCGCGTCAGACTCAGCACCTCACGGTGGTGAGACATGCCCCGGAGGCACACTGCAGGATGTGCAGCGTAGCACTCGAATGCATAGCATGGTGTCGTTCTTCAGGGAATGAGAATCGTTGAGTGTGGTTCCTGCCACACGGCGCAGCCACGGACTTGGCCCACGGCTCTGGGAATTTTGAATGTCCTGCCACTCGCAGCTCAGGTATGTCAGTGCGCACGGGCGCATCTTTATCTGCTGCAGCTGCCATTGCGCCAATCGGATTCCGATGGAGGCTGCACGAGCAGAGGCACATCTGCAAGCCGCATGGGTGCAGATCGTCTCCTGCGAAGCCTTTCAGGAGCTTACTGTGGCAGACGGGCCACTGAAGAAGTTCGAGTTCAAGAAGGGCGGTGAGAACTTCTGGCAGGAACCGCCTGCTCCAACAGCAACACAACCGACATGAACTGCTGCCGCCCGTTCTTAGATGCAGCCGTGGCTTGTGTCCTTGTGCAGCCCTCCTCGTCGACAAGTCCCCGTCAAGTTCACACCCCTGTTTACTGCTTTTCATGCGAAAACTCACCGCTGCACTCGAAGTTTGTTGGAACAGGGCAGAAGGCGACACACGAGCAGAAGTTCTGCATTGAAACTTAAATCCTGCTGGCATGTGCACGATGATCCGACGCAAGCCATGCCTGTGGTCTTCAACGCTCGCAAGAAGTGGCAGGACAGCTTGCATGGAGGCGCTGTTGAAGTAGTCATGAGAAATCCGATCATCCCGACAGGAGGCAGAGGCCCGAACCTTACAGGAGTTTGGATTCATGTATTTATTCGTGTGGCCCGTGTTCTGAGGCCAAAGTCATTCAGAAGAGCAAAGCTAGAAAGCAGCCTCGGGAGAAGCTTGGCAGCCTTATGAGCCCCATCCAAGCAGCACTGTGTCGGTTGAATCTTAGGCGAAGCACTCCCCTTCCAGATCGCGAGCACTGGGAGGTTGAGCTCAGCAATCTCCAGCGTTTCTTTCGTGTTTGCGCAAGAACTTCTGCAGGCCGTGTTGTCTTCCAATTGGGCATGCTTGAAGGAGGCTCCAGAAGCTGTCTGCTGCTAAGTCGTGTCCGCCTGCTGGCTGCAAAGTGGATGCACGCATCCCATGCTACGTTACCGACATTTACACACTTTACCAACAAATAAAAGAGCATCTGGAACTCCCTACCCGAACGAAAGCCGGAGCCCACCTCAGCAAGAACCAGGAATTGGTGGCTTCAGCTCGTGTGTGCACAGCCTTCGGGATTGCTGGACATAATATGGTCCCTGAAGTTTGGAACCATGTGATCCGTTTTGAAGACGGCGTTGTTTGCCGCCTGTATTCGGAGCCGTTTAGTTCAGGGGCCATATGATTGCTCCAGCTTCAGGGTAAGGGCACGGAGCTTGCCGACGCCTCCATTCGGGTTCAGCAAAATCCAGCTACTGCAAAAGCAGGAGTTAGCCAGGATGAAAACGCTCTGAAATCCCGAGTGACTGGCATGATCAGGTGGGGGCACAGTGTGAAGCGAGGGAGGTCAACTAAGCCCAGCCCGACATGTCGAGTGACTGTTGAAAGACAAAGCGCAGGGCAGGTGCTGCTTCGTGCTGCTCACTTTTTTGTGTTGACCATGGAGGTACGAACGACAATCGAGAACATGAACATGCAGGTAGCAAAACGTAAAAACTCATTCACCACTCCACTCCATGGCATGCTCTTCTTTATTTGTGAATTCGGCAAGGTCAAAGATGACCCTGTCTGCGTGCAAATTGCCGCGAGACAAAGCTGGAAGGCGATGCTGCATTTCCGTTCAAGTGTGCTTATTCGTGCCAACGCTACTTTCTGGGATCGATTTTTTGCGTGGTAGTTGTTACTAAAAATTCGTCACCCATCTCTACACTAGCCAACGTTTGCTAGACTAGCTGGGTCTCACTCTAGTTACGCTCGCTTGCATCAGGCGTTGGAGTACGCATCCGAAGACATAAAAAATGATCCGGTCGTGACGCTGCCCGTCGTTCAGTCTTGTTGGTGGGCCGCGACCTCTGCTGTATGCATTGGGAAAGCTCTTCAAGATTTGGGCCTCAGGCACTAGAGTTTGTTGGACAAGACGTCCGACGAGACGAAGAAGTTGCCATCGCTCGTTGCTCAGATCCCTGAATCTGCAGACTTAGAACAATCCTGCTTTTTGGCCTAGGTTGCCTTACGTCAAAATGCTCTAGCCTTCGAGTCGTGACCTCAAGGACTAGCTTGGAAGACTGGAACTTCAGTCGTTCCCACTAGGACGATCCTCCAGCATCGTATGCACAGCTTCTGTGAATTGGAAGTGGAGTTGGAACTGCTCCCGGGGGTCTAGAATGGTCTTGGCAGTTTTTGACCATTTTGCAGACGTCCGTTTGCGCATGGAAGCTGAATTCCGAGACGTGCCTTGACACAGTCTACGGCAGGCTGGATGAAGCTGGGTCATGCTGCTTCATGGAACCAGACCGGAATGGTATTGCACACCGGGATGCTTAAGAGATATCTCAAGAGTCTGTCTGTAAGTCTTTTGTCTCATCTTGCTTCGACGAAGCTTCAGCTCCACGCTTCCAAACGGAGAAGGTGCAGGCGGTGTCGGCACCGTAGATCCACGTTGAGAAGGCCACAACATTCTGCTTTATCCAGCCCCTCAGTTGCCTCACTCAGCTTGGCAAATGCAGCTCGTGCCTTCCACGTGCGCTTCAGTTCGTGCCGTGCTTTCTGAAGTGTTTGAGATGGTTTTGATGGTCGCAGATCTGGTACTTTCGGCGACCCCCGAAAACGAACCTTCGTCGGCGCCCGAATTCATGGGAGGCACTTGCCCAGATGTTCGGATGCCCTCTGAAGTACACAGCATACTGCCCAAACGAAGGCCCCTTGCACTCGTAGTTTCGACGAAATCACATTATCTGTGCCCAGAAACGCTTCTCGTTCATGTGTGCGCGTCCGAAGTTTCCTTTCCAGCAGCGTCTTCCGATTGCTCGGCAGCTCGGCGTGAGCATCGAAAGATGACAGACGCGGTCAGGCTGCGAGCCAAGGTGCCTCTCCCACGACCTGCGGCACGATCTCATCATCCTGCAAGAAGCAGTCCGTCCACAACTTACTTCGGAGATGTCAAGAGCTTGCCCCCTGCTGCACTCAAAGTGCGTCTGCACGACCTGGCAATCATGTGTAAACTGGTAAACATACTACAGTTACAGTGTCTGCCAAAGCTCTGTGTGAAGGTGTGGACGGAAAGGCGCTGAGATTCGCATCGAAGGTCCTGCTTCGCATCGCCCAGCCGCGTCATTGCATCATTGCCTACAGCTGTTTCTGGTGAGGATCTGTTGGCAGATCGCAAGCTTGTGGAAGACCTTCTGGGCCGCTGCCGATGGAGGGCTTCTTTTGTTCGGGTGTCACTGCGCAGGACGCTGTTCGAAACGCCGGTGGGGAGGCTCTTTGCCATGCCGCCGAGGAGCGCTGCCAGATCTTGCATTCGAGGCAGACAGATCGCAAGATTAGCAGGAGTTTGGTGACGATCCAGATATGGTGGTTCTGGTGCGCCGACCAGCCATGCCCAGACACCTTCCGCCGCCATAGAGAGAAGCAGGAAGATGAAGAGTGCATCCGCAGAGGAGCTTCATGCGGTGGGACCGCTCCGAAATCAGTGCGACAGAAGATGACAGAAGTAAAGCGATACGTCACTCGGGACAGATGTCATGAGCGCAATGCATGGGGCGAGGTGCGAAATGGACTCTAGAAATGCGAGACTGGGAGCAGGAACTTGGACAAGGGGGAGGAATAGGTTCTGACCTCATACTCAGCAAATGCTGCCTGGCATGACTTGCAAGGAAGAACAAGCCTGCAGCAACTTGGGGGCCGGAAACATGTGATCGTTGGTTGGAAGGAAGCATGAAAGGGTTGCATCGAGCAACCACGGCGATGCACAACAGCCATCTGGCTGTTTCTGGTATTGTCGTGTCGAAGTGCCTCGAAGTCTTTACTAGCATGCACACGACGATTTTGGAAGGCACTTCAGGCTCCTGCGGGCTCGCGGAGCACCAAGTCCTTCGATTTACCCTTGCATCGTCAGAGAGGTGTTGGACACGTCTCATGTCGGCTTTCCGAGGGACAGAGCCTTGGCCTTCTCGAAGCGGTTGGCTGCGGATCGCGGGTTTGTCCTCCAGATTATGCAGTCAGATACTCACCTCGGTCGCATCAAGTCTTGTCGAGCTGCTTACAAGTTCCGATCAGCTTACAGTATAGCACTGCATTAGGAAGGATGGTATGGCCCTGCGCTATGTGCTGGCCTGATCTGCTCATAGCCGACCTGACATCGCTTTTGGAGCGCAGTGCTCCTTGCAGGCTTCGGAGAGCTTGAAGGCGGACATGTCAGTCGTTTTGGCGGCCTCAACCCTGGTCTTCGGGGCACCGCCCTCGCCCCGCTCCGCTTGGGAAGCTGCGCCCTTAGCTGAGGCCGTCGAGCAGAACGGAGATGCCTTGGAATTTGCTTCCGATGACATGCGCGACACACGCAAGGCTTCGTTGTCAACGTCGCAGAAGTGCCTAGAAGATCCAATCCACGTGGCCGGTTTTTCGCCGCATGGGGCAGGTGGTGGAAGCAGCCGCGAAGCAGAAGCCGAAGGCTCTGCGCTTCGCCTCCGAAAAACTGAGATCCGTCAGGCGCTGAGCTGACCACCGGGGCCCTGCAGGGCCTTGCAGGGCCACCAGGGCGAAGTCTCAAACACCAGCAGACTTGCCATGTAATCAAGCGTGATCCTGCTGTGAATCTGGTGGACTCGATAAAATCAAGCCTGTGGACAAACTCGTTGAACAAACCGCAAAGGGTTTTGACCGGCACCGAGGACGAAGACTTGGTCAAGCAGGTTGCCACGGTCGACGGCACCATTCTGGAGTTTGCGGTAGATCTTTGCCACGCTCCGAGTTGTCAAGAGAGCGCTTCTACCAGACTTATAGAGTGCTTTGATTTGATTTCAATCATTTTGGAGGTGGCAACAGGCGCGTGGCTGTGAAAGCTGTGGAGCAATCTTGGGAAGCACTTCGCTTCGAAGAGGCATCGGTGAAAGTGCCATCACCTTTGGGGCCTTTAGCCGCTTCAGCCATCACCTTGGCCGAAGGTTGCTGGAGGCTTGCCTGCCAACTTGCTTCTGGAGGCGGTGAAGCAGGAGACCTCTGAATGCTAACTATTGAGAAACTAGTTTACCTAGGTTTAATGCGTGATATCTCGTGGCAGGACTGGAGAGCGGTTCAAGAGATTCTCAAGAAAGAGCCAGAGGTCTCCGAGGAGACCGCTTGCCACATCCCTCTGTCGGACTGTACTGTAAAGCCCAAGGCTTCAGAGCTGCCCTGCCATTCACAGGATCTTCTTCTCCAAATGGCCACGACCAATCCTGAAATTGTGCGGGCAAGTCAGCATGCCTCCAAGTTACCTGCCGCAACCGGGCTGCATGAAGTGTTTGTGAGATGTTTCGAGGTTGCGCGGACATCGGATGGTAGCAAGGGCTGCCCTGGAAGTCAATGGTATGATGCTGTCGGAAGCCGAGTATCCAGGCCAAGACCTTTACAGCCACCGTCTCGCGGGGCCTGTCCCGAGGCACTATCTGCTGCCGCATCTGAGATCGGATCTTGAACTTGTCGCAGCCTCGGCTCGAATCTCGGAAGTCAAGCCTTCAGCCTTGGCATTGTGCCGTCAGGCGGCTGCAGCCGTGCGCCAGAATCCCGATGCATTGTCAGAGGCGCATCCGGCTCTGCGCCCTTCACTCAGCACATCTGCGGCTGGAATCTGCTCTGCGGCTTACCCCAAGCTCCGAAGCTGTGCTCGAAGCGCGCTGCATGGATGGAGGCCAGGAGCCAACTTTGCGCAGCTTGCAGAAGGAGGGCTTCGCACGACGAGCACACACCGAGCTCCGGAGGAGTCGGAGCTATTCGAGGGTTTCGATTGCATTGCAGCCGCCCTTTCTTTCTCGTGCGGCCAGGGCCAAAGCTTTGAAAGAGGCAGAGGAATTGGATTGCTCCAGCGACTGCCAATGAAGGGTGCGCATGGTGAAACCCGGGGCCGTTTGCCTTGTTTCTTGCGTTTCACATCTACGAGCGCCGACAGAAAGATGTTGGCCTGAAAGCATTGCTCGCAGCGTTCGTTTTGCAGGGATGTGGTTCGCTCCATCTGCACAACAGTCGCATGTCTTTCCGGCGAACTTCAGGAGGTGAGCCAGGAGGAAATGGAGGAAGGTGTGGCTTGGTGAAGTTCAGGACGTGCAGCGAGAATACAAGACTTCGTGCTTAGTCTGGGTTTGCTCCCGCCCAGGCCGAGGCATCTGAGCGAGTATCGCAGGCGAGTGCGCGAGTTTCTTGAGGAGGCAAGTCCATATCTGCCGTGCTTCCACGGCCCCCGGCCCGGAAGGGTGCAGACAAGCCGGCTCCTTCGCTGATCGGAAAGGCCGCATCTGCGGCTCGTTACCTCACGCCCTTGCGAATTACTGTATCTGGAAGGTGGACGTGGAGAATGCCAGTGCTGGAGAACGATTTCCGCAGTGTGCCTGAAACTTAAGGGCTTTGATGTGAGTCCACGACAATGAACTTTTTGCTATGTTGAGTTCTGCCTTTGCAGGTCGTTTGCTTGGATGAGCCCGGCTGCATGGTCTTGCTACCGTGCGCTCACGGAGGTGTTTGCGAGGCCGGCTACACTGTAGTGTGGCAGGCTTGAGCGAAACGTCATTTGACAGATTTTTGCCTGTATGGCATGTAACTTCGGCAGGCATGCGTGACCCGGATTGTCCAAAATCGTGCATTTGGGGGATCCCATTGCCCGCACTGCAGATCGACCATCAGCACCTTGGACTGGACCACCTTGGCAAAGCGGTATTTGTGCGGCTCATGAGTGGATGTTCTAAGGCACCATTGTCAAACTTGAGGAGGCACGCACCAGATTCGCTCTTGTGCTTCGTCCGATATGTGCGCCTCAGGTTGAAGGGGAGCTGGCCAAGGGAGTCGAATTGCGAATACCGATGGCCAGACCTCTGTCATAGGAAGGGTGGCGAGGCAGCGGCGCAGCGGCAGGGTGTCAGAGCCGGCCATGGCCCAGTCGTTGACAGCGTCCCTTGCAGCGCTCTTCGGCTCTTCGCTTTCTCACCAGCCCTTGCTGAACATGCGGCTCAGAGATCCTTTCAGACAGACTTGGACTTGGACAGCGAGCCATGATCAAAGGCACCCAGTTCCCATTAAAGCATGTCCAGACTGGCCAGCCATGTCAATATTGTCCGGTCTACTCTGCGATCTCGTCCAAAGGCCAGAGCATTTGAAAGTCGGGCTGGAAGATGCTGCGTGCGTTCCCTCAAGGCGTTTTGGGACGTTCGGAGTTTCGCCTCAAGCCCGACACAGTCTTTCTCCTCCAGAGACAGTCCAGCTGCCACAGGCCTCTGACTCAGCCTCGGGCTTTGGCTTGTTCGGTCTGCCGCCTTGAGGCCGTCACTCACCGCAACTCTTGAAAACGCCTGCCTTGTTCTTAGACTCAGAGTGTCGCAGTGCTGTCGAGCTGCTGGCGTCTTCGGCTTAAGAGCTCAGAGGTGTCCGAGCTTGAAGTCTCTTCGGCACCTCTTCCACTCGCGAAGGTGCCGAATCATAGGGAGGTAGTGCACGCAAGTTTCATCCGTCCTGTGCTGTGCTCAAGATGCGAAATGCCACTGCCACAGTGCCACCATGTGGCTACATCCACGCTGTTATTCAGCCCAAGATATGTCATAACATGTACAATCAGCGTCCGGTGAAGAGGGCTTCCTGGGTCCTCTTCTGAGTAACTCCTGAGCTGGCGTTGCAGAGGCAAGCGACATTGTCTTCAGGGGTGCACTCCACGAGGATGCTGAGGCTTCCGATATGTTTCATCACGACTTTGTGTTGTCTGGTCCTGGAAAAGTGAGAACGCTCTCAGGGCGGCGGTGCTCGACATGCTCCTGCTGTTTCGAAAATGTGGAGCAACATTCCATCACATGCCCCTGGGCAGGACGAGATGGCAGTTGAGACAGGCTAGAACGGCTAGATGATCCAGATGCTACAAGTGTCTCGAAAGGTTCGCGAGTCTTTTCGAGCTCCTTCCAACTTAGTCGAAGCCTCAAGTTTTCCTCACGTTAGTGTGTCGCAGTTGGGTCGGCTCAGGAAGACGCACCGAAGCCTTCTGCACCGCTTCTGCTAGACAATGTGCTTTGGCAAAGCAGTGCAGCAACACACGCTTTCGGGGTTCCTTTTAGTGGATTTTGGCGGGGAAGACCAGCTCAGCTTGAGCTGGCTGGATGCGGAACAGATCATGAGAGGTTGCTGGCACCGAGTTTTGTTGGCGCATCCCTTTGTGCGGCCGTTGCACCGGGAATCACTAGTTAAACCTTTGCCCGTGTTGAGTGGTAACACCGACAGCTCCAATACATCTCCCCGAAGGCCACCGCTATCTTCCTAGCACTTCTAGGAAATAAGAAGCAGATATTTCTCAGCAAGAAATTCCTGGATTGCTTAATTTTGAACGGAGGCGTATTTATGTTGGGAATGTTTTTGTTTTTTTTTATTTTTTTGTTTTGGTCTGTGTGCGTGCGCGTGCGGTTCGCCTTCCTGTCGTGCATGGCTTCTTGGTTACCTTGGCTTCTTGGCTCTTCGATGCCCCTCGACTTCTTCTAGTATTGTAACTTGGAGCATACTGCCTTCTCATTTTGCACGGCTTGGTGGCTTTCTGGTTTCCTTGGCTTCTTGGTTTCCTTGGCTTCTTGGCTTTCGGAGATTACTGCCTCCTAGTGCTTCTTGGCTTTTCGGCCTTAAAGGAGGGCACATTTCTTCACTACCTTTTTTTTTGTTACTCCCCTTGTTTTTTCCTGTCCCCTTGGTCCTCTGGTCCCGTGGTCCTCTGGTCCCTTGGTCTTCTTGGTCCCCTGGTCCGGTGAAGGCCCTGGTCCTCTGGTCCAGTTTTCAGGATGTATAGTAAGTATAGAAGGTTACAAGTATACCTTTCGAAGCAAGGGTGAGCAGAGGTGGCTTCTTGGTTTTTCGGCCACTCGGCTTCTTGGCCTTTCGACTTCTTATAGTTTCGTGTATTATAACATACTATGTTATATGAAATTACATGTGTATATATATATATATGTATATATTAAAGCGTATTATCTTCTAGTATATTGTATTATATTCTATCATATTATATTGTTCTGTGTGATGTTGTATCATACGACATTATACTGTATCATATTAGGTCATATTGTATGTCATTTTGCTTTATGGGCCGTTGTCATGCAGTAGGAGCACCTACGGCGCGCACCTTGCATGACATTTGCTTTGGACGTCATGCGCGCGTAGCTTTTGGTTTAAGCATGACCGCGTAGGAAGGGTAGGGTAGGATGCCTGGGCCCTGGTTCCTCCCGAGAGAGGACCAGGGGGCATGGAGTGCCCTACCCGCTGCGCGCGGAGATTATGTGGAGCTCAAGCTCCTCGATTCCACTCGCCACCCACAGGGTATGGGGTTGGTGAGGATCGAGGAGCGAGAGAACCCCGGCCGATATGGGGAATGGTTTGCAGGTACCATCGTCGCGGTGTCCGACGGGTACCTGCAATGGTGGCTGGATGAAGGGGAAGGCTCTTCGGAGCAAAGGTGGTTCTCCTTCCACGTCTGTGCCAAGTCTCCTGCCACCTGCAGGGGATCAAAAGGGCACCCCGACATGGAGTTCCACTTTGAGTCCCTACGGAGCATTCCCCTTGCGGAGCTCGGGACCTCCCAGCAGCCACCATGGCTTACCCAACCCGCTGCGGCGGCAGATCTAAGATGGGAGCTAGATCGCTTGGGTGGCCAGCCAACAACACCAGCTGCGGCTGAGGCAAAAGGGGGGAAGAAGGAGCGAGAGAAGGGTCTCGCAGCCCCCTCATGGGGGGGCCCCCCTGGCGCGGAGGCGAAGCCTCCGGGGCTTGCCGCAGAGCTCGACGACCTGGCCAGAGATCTCAAGGATCCTGGGCAGGGTCGGAGGGATAAGCGGAAAAATCGCCGCCAAAGAATCCCGTGCGCGGGAGAGAGACTCCGGGCCAGCTGCGGAGGCGGAGGCCGCCCTCGAGAAAAAGAGGAGACGCTGGCTGGACCCGGGAGGTCACCAAAGCGTCTCTTCTGAGTCAGAGACCCGAAGGGGCCGGAGCCCGAGAAGGAGACGGTCTGAGGACCAGAGCTCTCCCAAGGAAAAGAAGAAAAAGAAGAAAAAGAAGAGGAGTCGGTCCAGAGAGGCGGGCCGCAAAGCCGACCGAGGTCCCTTTGGTGGGGGAGTCAAGGTCGACCTGGGCGAGGATGGGTCTTCGTCGGACTCGTCTTTTCGCGAAGCCTCCTCGTCTCGCGACCGTCAGCTGCAGCTCCTGGAGTACTCGGAGAGGTACCCGGGGCGGCTGTCGGCTCGTCTTCTGCAGAAGATGCGAATGCTGCTCGCACGGGACGGGGGGGCGCTAAACTTTGCAGCCCGGGAAGATCCAGCGCCACCGGTGGCGACGAGCTACCTCCTCACGATCATGGTGCCGGAGTACAGGACAAAGGTCGGAGTTCGCCTTTTACGGGAACTCAAGACCCTGTGCAAGGCGCTGGACCTGGTGGTCGAAGGGGAAGCGCGGCGCGCCGCAGACCTTCTCGCACAAAGAGTGAAAGCGATCGAAGCCTCGCTGGCCGACGATCACTGGTTGAAAGCACAGTTCCTGGAACTGGTGCCGCGGGAAGGAAGTCTCCTGATGGAGACGGACGAAGCGGTGATGGCGGCGAGGCAGCTGGCCCTGGAGACCAAGGTGAAGGAGGCAGGCCAGCGGAACTGGGGCCGGGGCAAGGGGCAGTGGTTCGCCCGCCCAGACGACAACGAGCCGCCACCGCTCCGGACCACGCCCCCCGAGGGGGAGAAAGGAAAAAAGGGCGAGGGCAAAAAAGGGGCGAAAGGAAAGAAGGGGCAAAAGTAGAGCCCGCTGCGGCGGAGGCTGGAAAAGCCCCGAGAAAGCCCCCGAAGGCCCGGACCAAGCAGAAGGTCAAAAAGGAGGTCAAAGGCGGCAAGACGCCGGATGATGATCCGCCGGGCGACCCCGATGATGATGGGGGTCCTCCTGATGAGTGGGACGAAGAAGAAGAAGGGGAGGAGGAGGCCCCGGCGGATGACCCCGCCGTTGAAGAACGGGGTGCGCCCCAGGGTTCAACACCGGCTGCGGCCGAGACTTTGAGCCCGGGCCAAGAAGAGGAATGGGATGATGAATTGCTGGAGGCCCTTGGGGTCAGCGAGGATGAGGACACCCTGCGCGACTCCTTGGAGCATGCTGCCAAGCATGCGGCGACAGGGTGGTGGAACCTCAGCCACTTGCAAGCGGCGGTCCGCCGCCTTTTGGGCACGAAGCCCACCTGGGAGCAGTTTCTCGAGTGGTTCATGAATGAGGGCAGGCGGTTCCCAACTCCTCTTGGTTCGTTCTTCCGAAGGATGGAGGAGACCGAGGCAGCCCCCCCGGGCGCGGAGCCCACCAGGGAACATGACCTGCTCCCTATCCATGTGGATGCCACCTGCAACATTGAGGTTGTGGAGAACTGTTCCCAGGTGGTGCTGGAGACTACCCTGCACGCCCTCAACTTCCACTACTGCTGTGGTTGGATCAGCCCTGTGTGCTGGCCACCGCCCGAAGAAGTCACTCCACGGCAGGCAGAGGCGGTGAAAGGGATCGCGAAGATCTGCGCCGGGTGCTTGGGGCGTGGCTTGCCTTTGGGAGGACCGGCCGAGGCCGAGAAGATCCTCTCTAGTCGCTCCCGTGACTATGAAGGCAACATGGTGGAGCGAGTGGGGGAGATCCAAGCGGATCTGGTGATCGGTGCATGGCCCAATGTTGGGGAGGCGGCGGTTGCAAGCGTCGTTGACTTTTTGTCGGGTGACGCCCTCCATGCAGTGATCTCGCCGAAGCCTCACTTCAAGAGGGGAAGCGACCAGCCGAGGACCTCCAAGAAGGGTAAGGTCCATGCCTCCCAGGAGGAATGGAACAAGGTCGTCTCGGCGGCCTTCCAGCGCAACATGATGGGGCCGGTGGACGAGAGCGCCGTCCCCCGGGACGCGCAAGGCCACCTCATCACGAATGGTGCTGGGGCGGTAGAGAAGAGGAAGCTGGTCGGCGGCAAGGAGGTCACGATGCAGAGATTCATCTTCGTGCCGATCAATGAGTACCTGGAGGCCCTCCCGGGAGACCAGGACTTCCTCCCGTACGTGGCCCAGCTTGGCCTGCTGCTCCTGGATGACAGCCAGACCCTTATGATAGAGTCGGAGGACCTCACCTCGGCCTTCAACTTGTTCCGCATGCCGGACACCTGGCCTGCTCCCGTACTTCTCCTACGCCAAGAAGGGGCCCGGGCACATTATGGGGTCCAACGAGGAGTGGGTCAGACCGGGGCTAAGGGTCATCCCAATGGCGCTGTCACCATCATGCAGGCGGTGCTTAGGAACCTTGTGTTTGACAAGGCAGGTGTGCCGGCTAGCCTGGAGATCTCGAAGGTCAAGGAGATACCCGCTGAGGGCGGAGCCGTGCTTTACCTTGACTCCTTCGACCAGGTGCGGATGGTCGACACCACGCTGCGCGCAGTAGAAGAAGGTGTCGCCAGCCCAGAGCATGAGCGTTTCAGGGCAGCCTGCAAGGAGAGGGGTCTTCCCCTCAACGCCTCCAAGTCCCTCGCCGGAGCACTACGAGGGGGCATCCAAGGAGGGGTGCTAGATGGAGACAAGGGAACGATTTGGGTGGGGAGCGATAAAGCCGAAAAGCTGGTGCTGGCCACTTTGGGCCTCCTGGCTTCCGCCTCCTGGTCGGAAGCTGCCCTTAGGAGATGGGCTGGGATCGCGACCTTTGTGGCCGCTTTCCGGAGGCCGCTCTTCGCCGTTTTCCAGGAGATCTTCCCTCTGATAGAAAGGGCCAAGGATGGGGCGGTGGACCCAGACCCGCAGGTCATCGACGAAATGGTGACCTTCGTGCTTTTGCTCCCCTTGGCCTCCACCTCCTTGAGGGCCAGAGTGTCCGGGGAAATCTCCTGCTCCGACGCATCCCTTTGGGGAGGTGGAGCGGCCGTTGCCCAGACGGCCCGGAGGCCCACTGTTGCGCCAGTGGAAGAGGATGAGCCTGGAGTCTGTGGCCCTGAACAAGGTGGCAGTGCTCACCGCCTTTGGGCCCAACGTCAACGACAAAGATGACTTTTGGAGCCCGACTGGGAAAGAGAAGCTGGAAAGGATGGAGGCGGACCCGCTGGTCGCGGCCAAGTTTTGGAGTCCGCCCTTCAACACCTTTGGGCTCGGCCGTGGTGAGCAGGTGCAACTCCAGAGTGGGAGATGGGTGGAAGCCCCACCAGCCCTAAGGTCTGGAGGGCACCTCACTGGAGTGGCCGGCCTCTCCAAGGCTGCCGCCTTTGAAGTGAGGAGGGCAAACACCCTCGCGCTGAAAGCCCTGAAGACCCTTTCCCGGGCTGTGGAGGAAAACTTCCTCTGCTTCGTTTGCCAGCCCTGGGACTCCTACCTTTGGTACTTCCTGGAGGCAGAAGAGCTGAAAGAGACGAGGGGGATCTTTTCCACTTCGTTTCCCTTGTGTTGCTTTGGTGGGCCCAAGCGTTGGGTGGAGCTGTTGCACAACTCCCCGGCGGTCCACCAAGCTTTGCACCGGCCCGCGTGCCGAGACCACGAAGAAGAACACAAGGCATGGTACGACAGCACAGGCCGGATTCGGTTCGCCTGCTGTGAGGAGCTTCGCCTCCCCTGGGACCTGTGTGACGCCATGGCGTTGGCGATAAAGAGGGATCTGGCTGAAATCTGCCCTCTCATCCCAGGCAAGCTCACTGATCGCACCATGGAGTGGCAGCTGATGGCGCAGCTGCGTGGAGCTTCCTCGAGCCTCAGATCACCCGCCGCGGCGGAGGCAGCATCTGAAGTGATTGCGCCCATTGCCCGGGAGATTTTGGAAGACCCACTGGAGCATCTGCGGAGGATGCTTAGCAGAGGGCACTACCGGGGAACCGAGGTTCGGCTCATGGCACCAAATGAGCCAGACAACCTCAAGATGGTGCCCTACCCGGCGCACCTCTGGAGATGGCGCAACACGTTGTCCTTCGCCTGGCACAACGAGGACAACATCACCACGCTAGAGATGTTGGCAGCTCTAGCGGAGGTCCGACGCCGTGCGCGGCAGTTGAACACACAGCGGACAAGGTTTTTTCACATCCTTGATTCCCAGGTCGTGTATCACATCATGGCAAAGGGCAGGGCACACAGCAAGCGGTTGAACAGGTTGGCTCGACGGATGATGGCGGTTCAGCTGGCGGCGCAACTGCAAACGCTGGCGCTATGGACCATTTCGGCGTGGAACTTTGCCGATACTGCGTCCAGGAGGTTTGCCCCTCACCATGGCTCCTAAGCTCCACCTTAGGTTCCAAGGTCTGAACCCCAAATCCCGAGCCAACTACCGCCGTTTCTTGCAAGGGAGGATCTTGAACTGCCCAATTCCGTGAAAGCCCTTGACTCGGCGCTTGGGGAATTCATGAACGAATCCTTCCAAGAGGGGGACTCACCTGGGTATGCTGGGGCTGCAGTTTCAGCCCTTAAACGGTTCCTCCCCCGACTGCGGTCGAGACTTTATACTGCCACGCAACTTTACTCCAACTGGATGAAAGTGTACAAGCCATGCCGAGAGCCATGCCGAGCCACGCCTGTCCCGTGGTCCATGGTCCAAGCTATGGCAGGAGCTGCCCTTGCCGCTGGGCAGAAACGGCTGGCAGTGGCACTTCTCATCCAGTTTCTCTTTTTTCTTCGTACTGCTGAAATATACGGGCTGCGGCCCAGAGACGTTTCCTGCCTGCGCTCGGGACACGTGGTGGTAGCCTTGCCACACACTAAAACCTCCCGCGGGAGAGCGCAGAGCGTCTCACTTTTTGACCCTTTTTTGTGCCGGGTGCTGCCTGCAGCTATGGCATCGTGGTCAACTGATCAGTCTATAATTAACTCTTCAATGCAAACTTTTCGAGCAAGGTTCCAGAAACTGGTAGTCTTCCTGGGGCTGGAAGAAGGCACCTTCCTTCCCTACGGCCTTCGCCGTGGAGGTGCCACTTTTCACTGGCAAACCTCTCAGAACTTTGAAGCTACCATGATTATGGGAAGATGGCAGGATCAAAAAACCTGCCGCATCTACCTTGATGAAGCCCGCGCACTGCTGGTGCAGCAACAGCTTACTGTTTCTGCCCTCCCTCGCCTCCCTCACTTCGTGCAGCAGTGCCGCCAGCTTCTCTTGAAGCAGTAACGCTGCGCGAGGAAGGCAATCGCTCTCGCTCACTTTTAGTGGGGAGCGCTCTTAAGTTGGGAGGCGCACCGCGGTGCAGTTTCACTTTTTACCATGGCCTATACCACCCGCGGGTGAGGAAAGGCCTAGAGATGCCAGGAGACGTCCGGCCCTCGTAGGCCCCCTGGCTTTTCACCCGTGCTGTGGCATGTCCACGGTGCGCTGATCATGACCGCTGCCTCGGTCAAAAAATGGAGTGCTCGCGTGGCACACGAGTCCAATGGGCCGTTGTCATGCAGTAGGAGCACCTACGGCGCGCACCTTGCATGACATTTGCTTTGGACGTCATGCGCGCGTAGCTTTTGGTTTCCCGCCCGTGCCCTCCCCGCACCGCGGTGCAGTTGGGAGGCGCACCGCGGTGCAGTTTCACTTTTTACCATGGCCTACCACCCGCGGGTGAGGAAAGGCCTAGAGATGCCAGGAGACGTCCGGCCCTCGTAGGCCCCCTGGCTTTTCACCCGTGCTGTGGCATGTCCACGGTGCGCTGATCATGACCGCTGCCTCGGTCAAAAAATGGAGTGCTCGCGTGGCACACGAGTCCAAATATATTATATCACAATAAACTAAGTTATACTATATGAAAGTATATTACAATGTATCATAGTATATCATATCACATTTTATTAAAACATATTTCTGTCTACTTTAATGTATTTTTGTCATGCTATAGTATATTATATTGTATTATAAGGATATATTTAGTTATATCAGATTATGTTCTACTACATTATGTTATGTCATTTTAGGTTATATTTTCACACTTTGTTAACTTGAGCAAGGTCGCTTCGAGCATCATCCGCCAGCAAAGACAGAACCCATATGGACCTTTTCAGAACACGTCATAAAGACATTGTGTTTGCAAATGGGGGGGGCCCCCCCCCCCCCCCCCCCCCCCCACCTTCCTTTCTCTTTAAGCCGTGCAGGCTTGCTTTCAGCTTGCTTTCAAGAACATCACACCATGAACAAGACTTGCACCAAGCACAAACTTGTTTTAGAGCTGAAACAGCAGCTGTGGGATCTGAAGCTAGCGCGTTCTGCGAATGAGTTCATGCGCTTAGGCACACCCAGAATCTCAACATGAGGAATCGTTCCTTGTTCTGGGGGCTGTTAATTCCTTATGACAAAGCCTAATTGATCTCGTATTAAGCTGTGCAGAGGTCCTTTAACGCCGTTATTACGGCGTAATGAAATCTAAATTAAGCCATTATTAGGCACGTCCAGGCACAACCAGTGCGTAAGCACACACATCACTTGGCAGAGACCGCGGGCTCAATTCCCCCGGTCTCTCGCCATGCATATCGCCCCTGAAATACCAAATGCCGCCCTTCCGTTTCTGAGCTCGGTTTTGTTTTAAGCGAAAAAAAGCAAGCACAGAACAATCGAGAGTAGCAAGATGAAGAAATGGGACACCGAGGTCAAGACACGCTGGATTTCTGATTTCCTATTTGCGCATGTGGTTTTGATGTTTGTTCCGCACAGCCTCCCGACGGGCTCAATCTCTGCGACCAATCATTTTCTCAAGAAGTGCTGTCGCTGTACCTCAAGCGAGCCATGACATACTCGATTGAACAAGGCCATGAGGTGTTCTAATTGGCCCGCCATAGGCAATGGCTTCCTCATACATGGGTTCAGGCTGAAGGCGACAGGATGTCGATGATCAAAGCTCTTGAAGCATGCGCCAGATTGTTGCCCGAGTCTTCTTGCGTCCGTCATGCAGGGGTGATTTTTGCGGGGACGGTATTCGCAGATCGCAGATTCCAGACGGTCCAGCTCATGTAAGCAGTCTGTTCGGGAGTTGCTGCATGGTCTCCACAGGCTTAGTTTGCGCCCTTATTGCTATGAAACTTATGATTGTAATGTCATTCAGATCCATGATCTATCTATGTATGATTTCCTATGTGTATGTATATGTATATGTATATGTATATGTATATGTATATGTCATGTATATGTATATATGTATATATGATTATATGTCTCCTAATTATCGGTCTGGTGGGTAGGAATTAGGAGATCAGTTTCGCGATCGTTGGAACAGACTTGATCTATCTTCTCCGTGGCCATTTTGGCGATAGCCGATCGGGCCATACCGAAAAATAAGTTCGGCGTGGGAGGAACAGGATAGATCGCTCCAGTGCAGCAATGTCGTTCCCTCCCGCTGGCTTCGCTCAAGGTCGGCAGATGGCGGCCCCGGTGGCTCCCCAGTTCGGGTTGCCTCGCCGGCTTGGTCAGCCTGAGAATCCGGGAAACTGGGGATTCTATACTCCAGGCGAGGCAGAGGCTCCCGAGAATCCCGCGGCTCCAGCTGCCGCATCCGGCGATTGGGGCTCTGGAGGCTGGGGTCGCGACGATCGTCGTGGACGTCGTGACCGTGGGGCTCCTGCTGCTCACAACCCCTTCGCTGTTCAGCGGCCTGAGTTCGTTCGCCAGCTCGTGGTCGAGGAAGAGGACGAGACCCAGAACTCGCTCCTCGTCATCGACAACCGCGATGACCGGGTGATCTCCCCGTTCCAGAACTGGCTGGCCGAGGAGATCATCTCGAATGCCGCCAGCTCGATCAATGTGCTCGGAGCGGGACTCGGTCATGCCCCCGAACTCGGGCTACCACTGTTCGCTGTTCGCGAACTATACGCTCGATGGCATCAAGGCAGTTCTGCTCTTTTCGATGTCTTCGAGAACAGGGGGACCATGTGCTCAGTGGGACTCCTACGCGAGTCGGGCGCTATCGCACCCGGCTTTCCAGCCCTTCACTTGGCCGGTGATGTTCGATACCTCGGCCACCTATGTGGATGTGAAGGTCTTCAATGGAAACGAGGTCCTGTTCCATTGGGTCTTCAGGGGCTACCGCTCGGACTCGGATCTTTCTGTCCAGCAGCAGTTCTGTGACGAGGTGTTGATCCGGTCAGCCAACGAAGGATGGTTCCGACCCTCGATCGTCATCTCGGTCTTCGTTGGATGGAAGGTCTCCGTGACCTCGTTCGAGGTTGGAGCCCGAGTCTACACGATCGGCCCGAGAGGAGCAGTGATGGCGAGCGACCATGCCATGAGCACTTGTGAGCTCAGGGTGACAGAACGCTCGTCCCGAGAAGGCTATGGGAACGACGCCGATCGTGTTGAGTTTCGGTTCCGGGACGCCAATAACCGGATCGATCTCAAGTGCGGGAGGACTTCGGTGCCTGGCACGTGGCTCACAGTCAGCCACATCTCGGGCCCGGCTCTGATCAGCACGATCCAGGCCTGTCGGAACCAGCGTGCTCGCGTGGAAGGTCCAGACCACATCCAGCAGTTCGCGCAGCTGTCTGCGGTGATCGCCCCCTGGTACCACAGTGCGTTCGCCAACGAACAGGTGCAAGTGGGAACTGCGACAGACGAGTTCCCGATGGATCATGGGAACTTCCACGTACGGGCTAGATCTAAGCTCAGGGTCTGCCCACTGGAGTTCGTCCGGCAGGAGGCGCTCGCCCACCGGTCGCACGATGAGAACAACGCCGTTCGAGCTCGGAATGGCCCCCCGGCTCTCATGGAAGAGGCGGCTCGGCAGGCGGTTCAGCAGCTGGGCTCCTCGGTCACTTCGGCGATCACCAACATGCCCACCTCGGCTCAGCAGGTGTTCGACCAGAGGGTGAGCACTGTTCCGGTGCCGGAGGAGGGCCAGCTCGGCCAGGAGCAGATTGTCGAGGAGGTCGTCGCCGATGCCCGCGATCGCATGAGGGCCGACATGCGATTCTCGCGCACGTCGGCTGCGATCACGCCTCAGGTTTTCACCGACGTGCTCCAGCACCGTGAGCAGGCGGAGTACGAGCGGATCAGCACGGTCAGGGTGGAGGAGACGGGCCAAGAGATCACGGCTTCCCCCTCCACTACGACCACGGTGCCGAAGGCGTTCGCTCCGGCTTACCCGCCGGCCAGATCGTCAACGGGGCCCTACACGATGGACAATTCGGAGTAGTTGTCGATCGAAGCCTATAGGTGATGGTCGGTTTTTGTGCACGCTCCTAAGAGAGTGGTGCGCCGCGCGACCGAAGCCTCCGTGCTCACTACTGCAGCTTCGGATGATCTGAAGCGCGGGCACATCTCGCCCG